AGCATTGGTGACTACCATCTCTTGGATATTGGGAATGATGTTGTGTTTGGCTCTCGCTCCCATCTTATCACCTCAGATGGTATTGGTTCAGAAAAGATTACTATCCAAGATCGTGCCATGATAGCGGATCGGGTGTGTCTCCTCCCAGGTGTGACAGTCGGCGACCACACCACTATGGGCTCTGGCGCTTTGACACGCCGGGGGAAATCATACCCATCTGGGGGCACCTTTGTGGGCTCTAAGGGTCGTGACTGTGTCCATCTCTCTGGCGGCCATAGCACAGGATACGATGAGAAGAAGCCGGTTCAACACCGCATGCGGCACATGAGCAGTGATGATACTCTCGCTGGCATCAACGTGGACTCGAAAAAGAGCTCCATACGAGTACAAACTAGGATTCAACGCACAGGCAGCGAAGAAACGCTAGCTGAATCACGCACTTCAGGAGTGAAGAAAAGCAAGACACGTCATGGTAGCCCAGAGGAGGTTTTCACATCCTCTGAGAGCGATACATGTGATAGTGGATCGGAAACGGCGGAGGCAGACCGCATGTCCCCATTTGGGCGTGCGTTCTATCTTAAACTTGCGCCTTATTATGTCCTGGGGCCATTTATTATCTTCTGCTATTCTTCCTTCATCACCGTCTTCACATCATTTTATTGGAATGTACCGACAGTGGCCTGTGTACAGCTGGTTGATTATCTCATGAACCTATTCATATCCCGTGACATCGCTATCACGTTCGATGTTTTCGTGCTTTTTCTTGTAGCTTGGGCTGGTATCGCGGTTTTATTCACAACCATGGCTGTACTGGCGCTTCTCATTGTCATCGCTAGTAAATGGATCCTGCTAGGACGCCGTGCGCCTGGAAACTACGATTGGGATAAATCTTCTTATTGCCAGCGGTGGCAGCTCTTCCTGAGCATCGAACGGCTTCGGCGCCACTGCTATCATAGCCAAGGAGTCCTGGGGCTCCTCACGGGGACCAGCTGGATTGTCTACTACTTTCGAGCATTGGGGGCCAACATCGGCAAAGACTGTGCCCTTTTTGCCAACGGCAGCCCGAGCTTGATGTTTACGGAGCCCGATTTAATCACTTTGGGGGATCGAGTTTCCATTGACGATGCCAGTGTCGTGGGTCACATCAACACTCGAGGCAAATTTGATCTGAATAGACTGAGCATAGGAGATAGATGCGTGATGCGGTCAGGGAGCAGACTACTCAGCGGCGCCACGATGAAGAATGACAGCTGCCTTTTAGAGCATACGCTCATTATGGGTGGCGATGTAGTGGAAGAGAATTGGACAATGCAGGGATGGCCGGCCGAGAGGCATACCGGGAAACGCACAGCTATTGAATAGGGTTACCAGCTGTTGACTGCGATTGAGATTAGATTGATGCTTGCAAGTTATTGATGAGTAGAAAGCAAAAAAGGAATTGGACTTCATCTCTTGCCGAGAGAATTTGGTTCGAATTGCGATATGGTATGGAAATGAAGGCTTTAGATAGATCTTAATAAATATACTTGATATTTCTCTGATTGTGGTAACGAACAAGTAGCAGTTTATAACAATGCCTCGTACCGCCTAACATTGGTGATTGTCTCAATCAATAGCCAATCATGTTCGTAATGAATTTAATTGGTTGCACTTACAGCGGTACCGACCTCTCTTCGCTCACCAGATGTTCGAGATGCCCCTTTGGAGCACACGCACCTGGCCTACGCGAATATCGAATGAATGCAATGCGCATACATGATCCAGATTATCGTTATTATCGTCATTATTATTCAAGACGTTGTACTTTTAGTTTTGAGAATTGCCAATAACTTCGCTGAGAGACGCCGATATCAACCCGTGTGTTCCTTTACTCGCCTGCACTGCCCTGGAGACAAGTGACTGATGATTGTAAGAAGCTGCTGAGGGCAGCCGACCTTTGAACCACAGATTTGTGATCTCATCTCTGTTGGGTAGATAGGCCACACAGCAGGCAGCAAGAATAGACTCATGCTCTAAAGCCACCGGGTCAAGCACAATTGACGTTTCATCGCCATCCTTGCCCGCTACCAAGGCGGCGACTCCTCCGGAGACGGTGTCCACGCAATCGATGCCTGCGTCAGCAATCGCTGCAGAAGCGACTGTGATGCACCCACCTAGCACATTCATCACATCCCATTCTTCGACCCGCCGCTCCACTGCATCCTGGCGAGTCGACTCTCCCTCGATAATGGTCACCACGACATCGACGCCACTTTTGGGCCATCGGTCGGCAATCAGGGCACCGCGAAGTGCCGTTTCCAGATGCGTGCTGAGATCCTTTTCGCTTGAGTCACGCAGATAGCCTTTGCGCTGTTTCGTGGCGAAAGGGGCAAACTTGACGTGAGTTGAGAGCACCATATAAGGAGAGAATGGCGCAGAGCGTGGGAGAGACCTGGGCCCATGAACGGTGCATGTTAGCTTCATGCCAGAGCCATACTCGCCTTCTCTTGGCTCAATTTCTAGATAGGCTGAGCCAGATGCGGATGGTGTAACTCCTGTCTTGAGATCTGGAGTGAACAAAGTCTTAGTCTCTAGAACAGTTATCTCATCATAAGAAGGGCTCTCACAAAGTGGCCGAATAGCATCGGGCGCTCGTTGGCGGCGCGAAACTGCATCTAATTCGCCATCGTCGTAAATTGGCGGTAAACTGGAACCTCCTGGTCCATTTACTCGTCTCCGATCTGCCATGATGATTTATTTGCTGGCTGCATGTCCTTGAGCAGCAGCGTGAAGAACTTTTTTGCCCTTCAAGTGAGAAGCTCAGAGGCTGGGCCCACTGTATTTTACTAGGGAGCTCTCGTTGTTGCTGAGAAGAAAGCGCTGCTATTGCCTGATGAGGCATAACTCAGGTACGTACCATTCTGCCAGCAGCTCCGGAATTGGAGGCGCTATTTGATTAAGCGGGTGGGGCACTCGTATATATGCATATCGATATGGCAGCTGCCCACTCACTACAAATTCTTGCGCGCCGAAATTTTTCTTTGCATCGCAGCAATCTTCTTCACTCAGCAGCACAAAAGTGCCATGGCTAATGTCTGCCTACGTGGGTGAATGCTGCAGTCATATATCAAAAAGAAATGGTATATGACACAGCTGTAGTTGAAAGGGTAAGCAATTCCTGCACATGCCTCATCGTTCGACGGCGCCAGCCAACTCTCGCATTTCACCGTCCACCAAACATCTACATGATGATTTTACACACTTTTCTGTTCCCGCGAACCCTGAGCGCAGAACTAACATGCATCACCATCTGACCAATCCCTTTCTTCTATCAGTCATGCTATACACATGATACATCAGTCAACTAACGCTGGACTGCTTAGGATATTCTAACTGTTGCTATTGCTGCTGGGTACTCGTCTGAGCGTTGTACTAATGTCATATGGTAAGCTTTTTTTTTTTTTCTGCACTCCCTTTAACGTCGATGATGAGAAACCTTTTATCAGTTCTGCTTCTGAACACCCTGATGACTCCTAAATTACCAAACCAAGATCTCTGATATCATCTCTAAAACCAACTGTCATGTTTCAACCATTGCATGTTGTTACCAGTTGCTAACCTTTCTTCTCTACCATGTAGTCATGCCTCGATAATCATTCCTCCTAACTCATGCCACTCAAGCACTTCGCAATTGGTAAGTGAAAAATTTTCTGCTAGCCGAACCTGGCTCGAGATGTAGAGTGATGAAAACAAGTCTATCCATTCAACGATCTCGTCTAAGCCAAGTCGTTCTTCTTTCATGGTACATGTTTACGCATACTACCAGGGATGGAGTTGTCCACTCGATGTCATACGGCTCTCGTTGTCTTGTTTGTGGGGGGCTCGTTTTGAGTTTTCTGCAGGCGAGGCCGGCTGGACGAATGAGTAAACCGGCTTTCTGATATGCTTCTCTCGACGCTTCTTCGGTGTACATTGCTGCTGGAGGTTTTCGAAGCAATGCTAACACCTGGAAAGACTTCATAGGCGCGCTGAGAAGACGATTTAGTGGAACGCATGTTTGACGTTCCGTTGTAGCTCAACCATCATATCCATGTAGAGAGGTAAGTCGTAGAGGCTCGAAATCAATTTCACCCAAGCAGTCTCTTTTGTCTCTTGGATAAAACTGTTATTGCAGGCCCCCTGTGGGAGATCCCTCCTTGGGGATGTCATGATTTAAATATTTCATCTTTGAGAAAATGAAAAAGAAAGAATAAAAAAATTGCAAGACTTATGTCTATGACTGGTTACAATTCATTTTGTGATAAATGCGTATTCCGTCTCAGCAAACAAGCCGTGAGTATGTGAATACCGAAATTCAAGTAGATACGCTCTCGTGGAGAGGCGCAGATGAATGAGGTGGGCTAGAGCGAGTACCCAATATATGCTTAAGTCATAGCACCTCAGATACCAGCCTTTGAAGTTTGGCTTTTCGAACATCCAAACTAAACCTTAACCTAGGACCAGCGGCACAAACAGAAGACTGCGAGAAGTGAAAAATTCCACCAGCGCTTAGCATTTTGTTCTATTGCGCATCATTCTCTAATGGTTCCCATCATGCATGAGACTTTGCTTGGTGAAGCCAATTGCGAAAGGCTGAGTGCGCTTCAATCTGGTATGTCTGGAATATGATCATGGCCATCAACCTTACGCTTGTCCACTGAACAATGCTTTTTCGGTAGAAATAAGCCAAAAACATGAATTAAGTCTGCAAGATGTCTCATCCAAACTACTAGATGCAGTTGCTACAGAGGTGACATTCCCAACCCATCCTCGCCTAGCTATCGCGCCATCTCACATTCATCATCTCCCATGTACAGGCAGCTCGCGATGCAGGCCTAGAACTATTCGACCGTCTTAACGTTCTGTTGGTCACTCGAGCGGACATTCAAGAAGATCAGCAAACTCTATCAACCCAAAATGAAGAGATTGTGCATGTACGAAGCCTCGTTAGGCCTGTAGTCGAAAAGCTAATCAAGCTCCCCATGGACAGCACAGATAATACTGCGCAAGGTAAGAGCCATCTCCTTGTGAAGTAAGATGAGGAATACAGACTAAAGCACCCCTGTGATTTAGCTGTCGACTATACTGCTCGCTCTTTGGCCGCTGAAGTTGGCCTGGCACTGCTAGTTCTCACTTCTCTTCTCTGCAGCTCATCATCAGAACCTTTCACTCTCGACGACACAGCCTTAGTATATGTTGTTACGTATACTGATAAAGACGATGCCTGGACAACTGCAGAATCCTCACGGCTTACTGCTCGCCTGGTGGAAGCCAGCCTGGCCGACGATAAGCTAGATGAGTTTATTACCCAGTGTCTGCTCCATGATACACTTCGGCCTCTATTTTCCAAATCATCTACTAGGTTAACTGCCTCCGGAAGGCCATTGCAAATCTCTCGGCCGCCCAGTGGCATGCAATCTATGACATCGCTTGACAACATCTCTCAGGAGCATGAAAAACTCCACGCTGCATCAGGTTTTAAATGGGCAGTTATGTCATGCAGTGTATGTGACAACTTCATTGAGTAACCCGAACAGACAAACTAACTCACTCTTAGAAAGCTGCGGTGGGCCGTCACTGGCCTTTGTTTCTTCCGATTCTACTGTCACTAGTTGAAGACCACAATACTGCTGTTCGGGTTAAAGGGCTGAGAATTCTTGGCCACTTTCTAGACAAATGCCCCCCAAACACAATACTATCTGCCGGCGTTGACAACGTCATACAGGACGCAGTTTTCCCTACGCTGCTATTTTTACCCTCCACGACACCTGAGAATGAGTCTATAGAACTCCTATATCCGGCGTATCGTGTCCTCCTCCAGGTGGCACAGCTAGATCCAGATGTAAAGAGTTTACGAAGACGGCGTTTCCTCGACAAGCTTCTGAGAGATGGAATCTTTGTGGGACATTATCATGCCTCACAACATGCCCGAATTGTTGAAGTTCTTATGAACATTACAAAAGATATCATCTCATGCCTGGGAATCTTCACGGCCAAGCACCTTCAGGTAAACATCATTGGCATTGTAAATATCATCACCGCAGCCTACTGACAGCTTTCGGGTAGAGCCTTCTTCAGTTGTTTTCTACGACGCTATCCGATCCTTTTGCCTTGGCATACCCGCCATTAGTCTGTGCAACTACGGAAGCTTTGAATGAAACGTTGGTAAACTGCTGGCCAAGAATCTCCTCACCGGGGCATACGGATCAAGTTCTTCACATGATTTCACTGTGCTGGCTCAATCTTAAATCTTCACAGCTACCGAAATTGGGTATAGACCAAGTTTCAACACATCTTATTCATACATCGACAATTTTGCAGTCTCTATGGAATCGAGAAGGCTCTGCCCCTCCTGCGCAATTGACCGCTGTGTTACAAAAAGAGCCTCGACTTGTCGAATTAATTCCCAATATCCTGAAATAGCAGAGCGTGCGGCATATTTGTTTATACCTGTAACGAGGGTCGGATAGCGTTCAATCCAGAGGTTGCTGTTTGAAGAATGATTTACCCCGAAGCCACTTCCCGTAGGCCTTGTACCTCTTCTTGGGCGCATCCTCTTCGGTAACGGTCAGGGGATTTTCGCCTATTTTAACGAGCTCCGAGTAAACATCTGCATCCTCGTCGATACCTGTCACCATAAGGCCTTGATCAAGCCAAGTGCCATCAACATAATCCTTATATTCTGATGAGTCGATATCTACTGGAGTATCGCTTGAGACGACGAGCGGGAGGTTTTGCGGGTGACGAATATAACGTTCATAATCCTCCGCTTCGTGAGGCTCCACGACTGGATTCAGAGCGTCCTTGACCGCCTTGGTAAAGGTCCACTGCGTTGTTTTGGACTTTTCGAGATCCGACGGCTTCTCCTTCAATGTGTCCGCCGAGAGAGAAGCTTTGGCTGGCGATATGGTGCCAGGCCCGCTGTAGATGCCCCACATCTCCCTGCTTTGCGACCCCCCCTGCGATGGTCGTAGCCAGTCGTTCCGAGACACATCCCTTCCTGTTACTCTGTCAGAGGGTATAGACGAAGCATTGTCTCCCATGTCTGGCGAGAGTGTCTGTTGGCGGTAGGTCTGGGTCGAGACTAGCGATTCGGATGGTGATGTTGGCTCCTTCTTTACTTTTCTCTTCTCGAGATCGACATCACCATCAGTTCGGACTCGGAAGGGGCTGAGATCATATCTACCATCCTGAGTTGCCTTCAGAGGTATATACTTTATGGTAGAGTTCATCTTGTACGCAAACATCTTAGGGAAGGATGATAGAGTAGCTGGTCGATAGTACTCTAGCCAGTAATCATCGAATGATTCTGCGTTCTTACAACGGCTAAGAGCTGTTGGCGCAACAAATGGCGGGATTTTTCGTTCCTCGAGATAAGCTGGTGTGAACCAGTTGATGTAATTAGGCCTTCCCGCCTCTGTCCATTCTTTCGGGCTGGCGTGGTGAAGGTAGTAGTCTGTTGGCAGATCCCAGAGCATAGGTTGGCCATGCGAGAAGATATAGTTGCCAAGAAAGAGATTGTATGCCTCTTGCCGCTGACTGTCGAGGAATGAGTTGTTGTAGTATCGCTTGAAGCTCTCTATCATATCTCGAGAGTGACTGGTCCATTGATTGATCTTTCGATACGTTTCCATCGTATTGACGAGCTGAGAACCGCCGTACTGTACCGCAATTGTATCTCCATGGTCGTGCCACATGTGGGTGAAGAGATTCACAGCATCGGTATCGTACTCGACAGAGGTATTTTCAAGTATACCAAGGGCGTGAAGCTGATGGCCCAGCGCACGCTTGCCGATGACGAACTGTGCGGCATTTGTGCGATCTAAGCAGTCGATACAGTTGGTACGAGCAATGCCATTCTGGGCCGTCAAGGGGGTTGTGATTCCGTCGCCGTTTTGAAAGAAGCCGGTTGTTTTCAGTACCGACTCGGCGATGGTTTCCAGATTCCCGATGACGTCGCCGCCACGGATCTTGGATGCACGGCTCATGTCCCACGCCTTGTGTATGATCTTCTTGTCGGCTGGCAGGAATTGGTTGAGATAGTCTATAGCATGTGTATACTCTGCTAGCAGCTTTGACTCTCTAGGCGTTCTTTCTCTGGACTTGATAAGGTTGAGAACGTATATCGGAGCGCCGTACCGCTCAAATAGATTGTCGAAATGAAGAGCGGCGGCGCTATAGAATGGATCTACTAGATTAAGTTCAATGGGCGGTTTCGGAGTCACGCCGGTGCTGTCCTGGGTCCAGTAGAGAGGTATGCTTCCACGATGCTGGACGTATGAGGTGTACTGAGGACTGCAGTACGGCCTGGGACCAGGAGCGTGGAAAGATGTTGTCAAAGATTCAGCAACAATTTGCTCCGTCTCAACATCGTTGGCGACATATCCCTGATAATGAGTGAGAAAGTGATGATGTTAGTGTTAATGGAAATCCACAACTTACTAGGTCGTTTGCACCTCGTTTAAGAAAGCGAGCACCTGCAAAATACCGTGACCGCCTGGCAATCACAGTGATATGAGCAGTTCGGCCATATATTGAGAGTGCTGTGTCGTGTTAGTTAGCAGCACATGCAGGCTTGTAACGACCATTAACTTGCCTGCTTGGTCTATGTATCCATGTATGATGGGCCGACACCAGTCGTATGGGTCCTGAAGTACATTGACGGCAGGCTCCAGCAGGTAGTTATTCCACACGAACATCGAGTTGAGATCTTCATTCGGCCAGGGTACAGTGCCCTTCGCTAGAGATGCCCTCTCTCGTGTAATATTGTGCTGGAGGGTTCGGGTTATGTCATACGAATAGCTGTAGTAGAATGACTTGGTCAGGTCTAGTGTGTTCAAGATGGTTAAGAAGCGCTGTTCTTCTGGTTTGTTGCGAACGTCAACTTTGGAGCGTCCCGACGTCAGCGGTATCAGCTCAGTCCCTTCTACCTGGTGGATGTAATGGCCACCAATCATGGCAACGGTGCTCTTCTTGGTGATGAGAAGCATGTAATACGGGCCGGTGAATTTGATAAAGCCAAGTAGCCCCCAGGTTGTACAGCGCAGCTTGATGCCACCAGATGCGCGGTTGCCATCGTCGATGGTGTCGAGGAGCTGGTTCACTTCTCTGAGGCTGTAGATGATCTTGTCATCAGTGATATTCAGCTCGGCGCCTTCTGTAGTCCTGTCGATTTTCAAAATGCGATACCGCTTCTCACTCACATCCACCCCTACCATGTAGTAACGGCTGACGGTCTCGTAGAGGGTGAATTTGTGCATTTTGTAAAACGACGGTCCGTCGTCCTGGCTGCTTTCAGTGTCGCCGTCATCGTCTTCAGCCGTAGGGTTTGCGGCTCCTTGCGCGCGAGCCGCTGAATCAGGGCTTGAGACGCGGGCGAAGGGTTTCGCCACGGCTGGCTCATCGTTGTCTTCCTCCGGTTCGCGACTCCATCCGTTGGCAGTATTGGGCGAAGCGACACTGGGAGACTCGATATTCTGCTGCAGCAGGGAGGCCGGGATGCTGACGTCTGAAGTCACTGGCTGAGATGGGTTGTAGTCATGGCCTGGGGTATCCTGATCCATGAAGGCTTCGATTATGCATAAATGGCCGAGGATCTAATATAAAAGGGCGATATCTGGGAGCCTTGCAATATTGTCATAGGCCTGCCGTTGACGTATGACTCCTGGAGAGCTGTCTGGAGGAGGCTGGAGGCATTTGCGATACCCAGCTGAGCATTTCTTGGTTTAGATGCCGTTGCGAAATGCCCACTGGAGCTGGATAGCTTGATACCGAAGCCGGCTGTGGGCTAGCGATTGGAGTAGGGATAGTGGCTTGACGTAATGTTGCCTGAATGGCTCTTATCAAGCGCAGTTATTTGATGATGAATTTGGAATAATGATAGCTGTGCACACAGTGTTTTTCATTGGTTAAAGGCATGCTATTTGCTCCTCTGATAATATTGAATGCTGATAGAATTGTATAAGCACATGCAATATCTGGGTGGTTTCTCATAAGAACAAGAATGTATAGGTAGGTACTGTATTGGGGTAGACAGGAATTGCGGAGGTCTGTGCCAACGTGCATGCCATCATCTCACATCCATGTTTACAAGGCCCAGCAAAGCCGCAACTTGCTTGTAAGATCTGCCACCATGGGCCTCCGCTGCGGAGTTTCTAATGCTACCGTCTGAGTTAACGCTACGGGCGCTGCAGGACTGCTAATTTAGTGTCTGATATCGCCGTTGCTGAGGTACCTGCACTAATTACAGTTACCTCTTCAGGTATCCATTGATATGCGGAAGCAGCTCGGCCTTGTTTCTGTACGGCACGCGATTCTCTCACGGGGCCTCCAAGAGGCTTTTCAAACATCAACATCCTGCCTCGTCCAGTCGCATCGCCTCACGACTGCGTCGGTCCAGCCCCTCGCTGCACCTCTCGAATCATCCTAGAGCCGCGCTCAAGCCTCGCCCTGTCGGATCGCTTCCCCGGCGCGGCCATTGCTTGACTGGCCTCGGTCATGCAGAATGGCATTGCAATAGTGCCGCCTTTGGCAGCGACACAGCAAGTGGCCGATTTCGACCCGACGACGACGAATACATGGTACAATCTGACGGCCCTTGCCCGAGCAGTCAATGTGACGCGATATGCCCCTCTGTTCGAAGACCTTGTCATGGTTGGCCCGCGCATCGTCATGAAGCTTGGTTCTCTTATGGCGGCACCCGATTCCCTTGCCCTTCCGGCCCAAGACGCCATCTCCTCGGCGGCTGCTTCTGCGTCCGAACAGGAGATTCTTCGACCCATCACCACCGACTCGAGCCTCTATAGCAACATGATGAACGTGGCTGCAGCTCCCGGCACTCAGGCGGCTTCGGCGTCAGCTCAGCCGCCCTTCATGTCTTTGGACGGGGTTCGAGGCTTGGGGAGCGTCTTTAGCTATGCTACCAGCAGATGGGCGCTCTCGTGCATTGCCATGGCTGTTGTTCTTAACCGGACTCATATATTTGCTGCCACACGAAGGAGGTTGCGACTTCGTTGGCAAGTTAGACTCCTTCTGCGAATCGTTCCTTTTGTCGTGCTTGTCTTGCAGGCCCGAACCCTCCTACAGTCCATTCAGTGCCAGACCTCGCCGGATTTCTCGCAGTTGCGTTGGGGCGATGCCAACAGAAGCTCCGACCTTATGTTCTCACATTCAAATCCTTTTCTAAATACCATGAGTTCGTCATTACTCTTCGGTGCTTCAGACGAGCAATCTTGCGTTGCTGCCGACATGGTGCCGTCATCAGACCCGGACGTTCTTCGAGAGCTTCGAGGATCTCTTTCCCGATTGTGGCCTCTTTTCGGTACTTTCTGCCTCAGCCAATTCCTCGAGACCATTTCCTGTGCGGTTCAGGGCCGGCCCGTTGCTGCCGAGACGGGCATGACATTATTTGAACAGTCGCTTGCCTTTGCCGAGGCTGATGCTGCTGTTAACAACCAGCTTGGATGGGGCGCGTTTTCCAAATACCAAAATCCAGTTCCCGCATCACTTAATCAAGGAGGTACCGTTGTCATGACACGAGCAGCAATTCTAAGGCGTGTTAATACATCGCCTGAAGTCTTGTGGATTGCTTTTCTATCCTCCATGACACACATCACGAGCCATCTCTTGGGCCTGTTTGACCTCCAAGCTAAATACCGGCTTGTCAACACAGGATTCTGGGGGCTATGCTTCATGGGTAGTCTCGTATGGAGCTTTTTAACCTTTGAAGCGGATAATCCTGCGTCTCAAGGATTCTTTAGATTTCCCACGGTCTGTATCATTGGATTTGTCCCCCACGTCTTGATTCTTATTGGCATTGTTATGTGCCTATTTGTCTATGGCCTTGCGTTGTTGCTCACGGCTGTGATGCCGCCTGCTAGTCAAGAGCACTCTAGGATGACCTTTCGCCAACGTCTACTCCACGCACATGAAAATATGCAGGCCAATGTCTCCTTGTCGGAACTTCGCATCACGCGGGAAATGGACTTTTACACTGCCCTGCTGAGAACAGGGTTTGCCGCTATAACCATGGCCAGCGAGGCTGTATATCTGAACGAAGATCGTGGTGTCAGCCTGAAACACCAGACCTGGCTTGAAGAAGCCCGGTATCGAGAAGCAGAGGAGCTACGGAGGCAATGGATTAGCATGGGTCTCTCTGACCCGCGTTACGACCAAATCGGTACCATCGGCCTAATACCTGTAAAAGACGGGCCACTTCTGCCTCCTAATGGTTATAGTCGAGAGCGTGCTGCACAAAAAGTCCCCCGTGGTCGTGGTGACAAGGTCCTTAGAGTGGGCATTGGTGCTTCCGAGAGGAGCTCGAGATGGCTGCTGGCTTTGGAATTTCTCATTGGCATTAACAAACTTCTGGCAAGAGTGTTTGCCTTGTCCCTTCTGTGGATTCTTGGCGTCTGCCGCCTCCAAACCCGTCCTGCCTGGCTGCTGTGGCTCGCAAGCCGTTCGAAGGCGCCTGGAGCTGATAATGGATCGAGGCAGAACCGTGGCTCTAGCGGAGGCAAAGACGCAATGGCGAAACCTCTGGAGGGCGAGTCTCTCAGAATGGATGCTCTGGATATTGAGGCCGAATTCAGACGGATCGATACGAACCAAGACGAAGAGACGCTCGATGGGGATCTCTACAAGTACTGGCTCAAAGGAGGATGGTGGGGTTCCAACGACATGAGCGGAACATATCAGCCTCGCGAGGAAGAAGATGATGGGGATAATACGAGCGTTATTACCATGACCACAAATGGAGGCGAAACCGAAGACGAGGACGAAGACGGTTGGACATCAGACGTGGGGAGCGGACAGAGAACACCTACTCAGCGCTCACCACGGCCTGAACGTGAAGGCACTCCATTCCTTGATAGTCCACTGGCGATGGGTGATCTCGCTCGTCTCCTACACCCTACCAGTCTAGAAGAGCGACAAGAGGCAGAGAGACTCGCGGCACACCTTCAGAGTGATCGCATCTTGACAAGATCTGGCTTCAGACGGATAGAGCAGCTTCAGCGAACGAGAATTCTGACGGTGCAGAGTCCAAAGGCAAAGCAGGCAAGCAAGCTTGGTCCCCAAGGTCGCCTTACAAAGCTCAGCCCAGACGAAGAAGAGCATCTTCTGGAGCAGCTGATCTGGACAAAACGGCAAGCCTCCCCTGCCAAAGATGATCAACAAGACTCCAGTACACCGGCTGAGGGTGAAAGCCCTCCTTGCGTAGTGTGCCAATGCTCACCACGTACCGTTATCGTATGGCCTTGTCGTTGTCTTAGCTTGTGCGACGATTGCCGCGTGTCTCTAGCTATGAATAACTTTGACAAGTGCGTGTGCTGCCGTCGGGATGTCATGAGCTTCAGCAGGATCTATGTCCCTTAGGTATAGCCGCGTATGCCACCAGCATCGAGGCTTGTTGGGATATAGCCGTTTCGATCTTGAGAAACTACTGGTTGTTGTTTTACTTCTTCCCACTTCTTCTTTTGTTGTCACACTCATACCTGGAGTTGGGAACTGGGGGGTAGCTTTGATTATTTCATCTCCGGCTTGGGAGTTTTTTTTGTCCATTTTCTTTTTCCTAGACTGATGTCGGAATATATATACTCCTACTTTCAATAGCGATATGTTTTGTTTATAATGTCAATTGGACTCTACATGCCAGCCCATTCTATGCTGAAGCTTCTCACGGTAGGGAGGGCCGTATCTGGACTTGTGGACGGCTGACGCCCTCCTATGAGAAACGCTTTCTTCACAGCTGTTGCCAGTCTGCCACCGCCTACGATATCAAGGATAGGTATCTCCTCCTCCCAGCCATACTCATTTGCCATGAAATGAGCATGGAAACGTAAAGGATCACCGGGATAGACACTGTAACGGGCCCCAAATCGTAGCCCTGGAGTCATGAAATACCCATTGCCGAGCATAAACTGGCATAGCGACCCTTTCTCTGAGTTACTGGGTTCCACAGGTAACGCATAAGCATCTGGAGAGACATGGTTGGCGCTAGATGTTGGTGTGACACCCAACAGAGTCACTTGGCTATTGCGAGAGAAGGGGCCGCCATCTGATTTGAGGCTATCAGGTGCTGCGGAACTGGTGGAGGCAGGGGTTGAAGTGGAATCACGCTGTCTCTCAGCCTTGCTGGCTGCTATGGAGGCTTTCTGGGCGTTCATTTCCGCAAACACCTTGTGCGCAGTCTGTTTCCGCAGCCGCAGCGAGCCGATGTACGCCCTCCGTGAATCATGGTCAAGGGACTGCAGAGCCGACTGGTGGGCGGCCACATCATCTACGACGTACGCAACGTTTGTACGAATTAGAGCATCCACCTCTTCAGGCCGGAGCTCGATGGGCAAACCAAGGAAAATGTTTTGAGTTGGCTGCTGCGGAGTAGTCCCCACCAAGGTGCCGTTGGTGTTTGCTCTTCGGCGGAGGGCGCTCACGGCATCTGGGTCAAACACGAGATACCGCCCCGAGATATTGGCAATGCGGATGAGCTTAGGGGCTTCCATTGTGGCTATGATCCTGCAAACGCAATGAAGAGTTAGTTCATGTGTCTGCATACAAAATGTGAATTGAGTTTTTGTGTTTGGTTTTAAAGGGATTAGAGTCATAAGTCGTCTTCGTAAAAATTTGATTTTGTCATCAGTGTTCAGTGGATTGACAGATATTCAAGGTAATAATCATGTAGGTGAACCCTAATAAACATTTTCGAAATGCAACGCAGTTAATTGCTTACCTTGCATGTTTGTGTCAGTCTCTCTTCTCCAGACTCTTCAAGTTTGAAGCGAAAAGACAGAGAGAAAAGGCGACAAGAAGACATTGAGTAGAAGAGAAGAATTTTGAAACTTAAATGAAATAATCGAGCTATTGTGGTGGGGAAGCTTCATGCCCCCATAGAGAAATATAGACCCACTTAAAATTCTCATAGGGAGTTCAGGCACCGGTATAGCGTTTGAGGTTCTCCCCGTTAAGTGCATATCTAGGTAGGTATACTCTGCTGTAAGAGACACTACAGAACTCAACAAGGTACGTCTCACGCAAGATCTACTAATTATTTGAAGAAAAAATTGAGAAGCAAGAATTGAACTTGATTAAAAATCAAGTTTTGGCTTATTCTCATTTGATGGCGCATTTGAAGGTCCATCATCTTCTAACGGTGGTAAACTATACGGCGCGATAACAAGCCCACTGGAAGCGCTCAGCTTGAAAGACATGTCTTCCTTCACCCAGCTTCCTTCCAACCCACCCCCTTTTTCATGGAAGATGGGCAGCGAGTGAATCCTAAAAAGTCCCTGTGCCTTGGTATCATTTGCAGAGTTTCGGTCAATATGGTGTTGAGGCTGCTGCTGGAGCGATATCAACTCCACCACGCCGTCGCAGATTAGCTCTGCTCGCCGAACAAGTCCTGTCGAACGGGGATATAGTGAGATGGGTAGCGTCATCATGACAACGATCCTTGAGGGGAACTGCCGCAGCAAGGCTCGTATTTGGTGCAAGAACTGTAGCACCTCTTGCGGACGACAAGCTGAAGGTGGATATAGAGTTGGCGAGAGTAGGCTAGGAACGATAATTCTGTAAATGGCGGTAGGAGGCGAACTCTTAATCTTAGTGGTGACCTCGCTGATGAAACGCCGGAACAGTGACTGGCCTGAATCCAGGCCGCCCCCGCGTGTGGTATAAAACTGCCCCTGAGCGACACTCTCGTCTAGGCGTCCCGATAGATCAAACGTATGACAGAAAGGGGCCATCCCTTCTGCTGAGTCTGATATTGATGGACCTTTTTTGCATGTCATTGGTATCACTTCTTCAAAAAGATGTCAGAAAACTACTCACCACGTGATGGAGCAGCTCTACTACTTAGAGCCTCATATCGCCAAGCAATCTTCATCTTGCTGTCTGAAGAATTAGAGCTACTAGCCTCTTTAGATCGGCCCTCGCTCGCCAGCCCTGGAAGCTCACGCCGCCAGTGATCTCCAAATCCCAGCACATGTACAGAATGGCCTTGAACTAGTCCTTCAGCGGCAAAGTAGCGAAGCAAGATCCCGCCAAAGTCGGTTGTCCCAGTCTCCTCGACGAGGAGACATGTTCCTACGGGTAGTCCAGCATGGCCTGCGAGCAGCTGATCCAAAGATGAAGTTCCAGTAGAGGTGGTGAGTCTTCCATCGTGAGGAGAAGGGCGAGTACCAGGGACTAATAGTTTGGTTTGCTGTGACTGTGGTGCGGCCCCAGTAACACCGATTACTGTATTCCTCTTCCGAAACGACATGCCGAATATTTGAAGGTTGGAACCTGTTTTCACCAACTACCCATAAATTCCGTGTAAAGGTGAAACAGTTGGATAAAGTAGCTTTCAATCAAGAAATTCTTTCTTATAGCCAAAAATACTTCTCGAAAGGCATTTTAGAAGGAGCTAAAAATAAAGACAGCCGATGCTCAGCGTTTTAACTCATTCATGACGACTTTCGAACCAAAGGGCATATAAAAAAGCTTATCTTATCAATGGTTAATTGCCCCGATTCAGCACTACTATGCAGTGCTATAAGCTACAAATATGCTTATATCCGACTTTTGAAGCCTGTAGTGCCCCTCCAACAGAAATAAATTTCTACAACGATTTCAATCGCGGAAGATCGTCAACCCCAACGCCAAAACGAAGCCGATTCTCCGAACCTTTGCTGAATATCCACGAAGTATTCTTGCTTCTGAGCAGCCAATTAGAAGACGGAAAAAAGAGCAGGGGAAAAAAAAGGCCAATCTTACAAAATGTCTGGAGCAGGAAGTGGCGATGCTACGCTTTTCGAAGAAAGCTTCACCGTGACGGAGTATGATCAGTCCAAATACGACAGAGTCGCCCGCATATCATGCACGTCTAGCGACTCCCAGACCGTCATGACCCTGGACATCAACATTGAGCTATTCCCATGCTCCGTGTCCGATACGCTGCATGTCGTCCTCACTACCACGCTATCACCAGACGGCAGCAAGGAGGACGACAAGGGCTGGCGAGACGTTGGCAAGGCTGGCGATGCCCCAGCAACTCTTGCCGATCTGTACGACTATGTGTGCTATGGAAAAATTTACAAATTCGAGGAGACGTTTGATGGCAACACCATGTATGCAGATCCCAAGAGAAGCTTTGGAGAATGAAGAACAACTTGGCTAACACTTGGATTTTTTACTCTATAGTAACGCTTACGTCTCATTCGGCGGATTGCTCATGGCCCTGCAAGGCCCGGTTAAGAAGTTGACACCACTGCGAGTTGACAACGTTTATTTGTTGGTTAAGCGGTAAAAAGCAGCAGTTGGTCAATAAATTATAACATCGAGGAATGGGGGAAAATACAGCGCTCAAGGGCAACTTCACTTATAGAGGAAACACAAAATTCGACAATTTAATGGAATGGGAAAGAGATAATAAAAGGTCAAAGAGAGAAAGGGAGGGAGTCTCGACGTCCTACGGCTGTCCTCATGCAACATGACAGCAAAATGCAAGAGAAGAAAAGAGAGAGAAAGATATCAATCAACAAACTAGTCTACGCTGCTTTAACAGACTGTTTGCTATTGTGGCCGGGCCAATCTGGCTGATGCGGCCCGGGGAAAGGAAGGTCTCGGTGCATCCTGGCCTTGATGGCGGCCAGATCAGGTTCGTTGGCCTCGGTCAGAATGCCATGGCGAATGAAGAAGTCAATCATGACTAGCGCACAATTGGGCTTGAATTTCCCGGCCGCCAGATCCCTCTTCACCTCGTCCACGTCACACAGCAGAAACTCTTCAACTTCGCCGTCTTTGGGACGAGGCACGACGTCAACAGGTAGCTTGAGATTATAGACCCACTGGCACTCGGGATAAATGTAGCCGTCCTCACCAACGTACTTTGCCTCAGTGATGTAGATGTAGGTGACGTTCCCAACCCACTCCGCAGTGCCACGGACTAGAGGATCGGGGAGACTGGCCTCTTCGTCAGCCTCTCGGATGATGCATTCAAAGGGGTCTTCGCCCGTCATGAGGCCACCAGCCACGGTGTTGTCCAGCATGCCGGGGAAGGTCGACTTGTTGGATGCTCGCTTTGGCACCCAGAGTTTCATGCCGTAGGGAGCGGTTGGGTCTTCGACATAGGCAACCATATGAACTCCGTATCGCGCAGTGCCAAACAGGCCCATGGCAGCCCTTTCCACGCTGAAGAGAAGCTCCCCCTTTCGAGCATACACGGGCCATAACTCGTCACGCCATCCCTTAAGAGTCTTGAAGGTACCCTTTTCACGCCAATAACTTGTCAATGCCGACACGGCACGGGTTCGCTCCTCTTCCGTCTTTGGCGTCCTGAACAGCTCGACAGTCCGGTCAGCTGTGTTTAGACGCATGTCTCCCCGTATGTCTTGGGGTGTTTGAGACAGCTCATCGATGACCCAATCGGGCACATAGCCAATGGCATATTGTCCGTCTTCATCTTCCCACAGCAGCTTGAATAGTGTACTACGCAGGCTATTGGCCTCGGCTGTCTGATCATCACTGTACGGAAACCTGTGGTAGGCATTCGATTAGTGGCTGATGTAGTTACGAAAGCTCTGCCACCGTCTGAACTTGAACAAGGGCCTCTCTTGATAAATAATGGAATGAAGGGGTAAAACGCACTTGTCAGTGTCACAAATGAGGTCTAGATTGGTCTTCGACATGGTGCTTAAAACGGTAGTTATCTGTATGCGGTGATTAGATGCTTCTGCAAGATTGCAAACCGAGATGACAAGAGTCTGTGAAATTCACAGCTTCCCACTGGGAAATTTATAAGTCTGCATACACTCAAGTATCAAAGCACCACTCGGCACAAGGCATAATGACCCTCTCAGGTCTTCATTCCTCATCAACAGCATGAAACAGACTTCATGGCTATGCTAGCAGGCAACGAGCCAATCAAGCAACGAATGCGTTCAACGTACCTGTAAACGATCAGAATCTGTAGGCTATCAAGGTCTAAATCCACAAAGGCGTTTGTTTACCGGTGAATGATCAGGAGGGAAACAAAAGAATGCCTCAAAAGTGAGCCTTGTAGCCTAGACGTTGTTGGTCCGGCGGTGGATCTGCGTCTTGTAAGGGCAGTTGCCGAGGACAAACACCAAAACAGCTGTTATGTCGTGCGGCTAACTGTGTTGAGTAACCCGGATGCCTGTTAGACGATATGATTCATCTAATTTTGTATGTTTTTTTTTTTTTTTTTTTGATGTAGGACTTCATTCTTTTGTCTTCCTACTTCTCCTCCCAGTATTCTCTTTTCTTTCATCCAAAAGGAAAAAAAAAACACCACTAAACTGCCCACTTCGACCTACCCCGCGGCTCCAGAAAAACCTCCAAACTCAACCAGCTCTTCTCCGTCCCTTTTCGCTTTCCCACGAGCTCAAATCACCGCCATACACCCCGGTCGCATCGCAACCAATCCAACAAACAGCCAATCGCCAAACATCTCAACAACAATGTCCGGCCCTCTCTTCGGCATCGTCCCCGCCGGACAGCCTCTCATCACCGACCCGACCTCCAACCCCTCCCCCGCCTCGTTCCTCTACGCCCTGCCCACGACAAAGCCCTTCTCCCACATCGTCGTCTTCCTCCTCCCCGCCATCGCCCTGCCCGACAACACCGCCGCCGCAATCTACCTGACCACCGCCCGCGAGGCCGCCGCCAGCCCGACGCCAAACTTCCGCTTCCTCGGCGCCATCGGGCCCGGCAAGGAGAGCGCCATGTTCAAGGTCGGCGGCGGCAGCGGCTCCGAGGCTGACGCGGGAGGCTTCATGATTGGCATCTCCGTCGAGCCCGCCGACGGCGTTGGCCAGCGCCTACAAGAGCTTGCCGCCAACAAAGCGAATGCGCCAGCATCGAGCTCTTCCGGCTCAACAACGACATCGACCGCCGTCCTCGCCCAGCGCATCATCCAAAACGCCTTCAACTTCCTCGCCAGCTTCAGCGGCACTGCAGGCCCCGGCGGCGTCGAGGTAGTTCCTTTGCGAGCCTTTGAAGACTGGTGGCGCAAGTTCGAATCCCGAGTTCGCTCTGATCCTAGCTTCCTCGAGAAGCAGGCCGACTGATTCAAATCCTACTACTCCTTGTATAAATCACAACTGCTTCGGCTGTACTCTTCCCGTTTGGCTTTGTAGCGTAGAGCGAATCTCACATCTGCTTTTTTCACCCCCTCTGCCCATCCATCCATTCTTCGGCAACTCATGTAAGGATTAGCATCATCTTAATATCGCGGCTCAACAAAAAACAAAAGAACACTGGCGTAAACGTGCAATAAGGCTGTGGTTCAAATATTGTGTATACACAAGGCTCGTTAAGAGCTATTTCTAAAAAACTGGTTCTACTACCTGATGAGTGAGATAATCTCCCATCCTAAGCCCCAACTTGGAGATATCGCTGCTTCACCAGAAACTCCCTTTGTACCCATTTCCAAAAACAAAGAGGCCGCTATTAAAGGGGCAGTCGGGGAACATATAGACCAAAATGAACGTGTATGAATGAAGCCGACGACCGTGAGATTCCATCAACGCTTTGACATGTCTATCATACAATCATGACGTTCCTCTAAGAGGAGCTGCTTCCACCGCGTCGTCGCTAGCTTTCCTGCGGTATCAGAATGGAATTCTTCAAACGTGTCGGACTTCCGGCTCTGCTGCGACGGCCAGCGTTCAGCATTTGTAGTGTCGGAGCAAGTCGTTCGCAGCTCTCTGTCCGCACAACAAGCCCATGCCTGTCCATAACTGACGGTGGACGCATTCCGTCGAACCGCTCAAAGCTCGACTTGGTTCCCGATAATCGGTGGCTTCTAGCAGATCTTGACGTCTCTCCGCCGTCCGAGCCGTCAGTTTCATCAGATTCTGTGCCTCCAAGCTCAAACTCAAGCGCACCGCCTTCCTCTAACAACCGATCATAGCTTGTTGTGTTTCTGCCGAAAAGGTTTCTCACAAAAGACGAGCTTCTAGCTTTCCGGAAACGGCGGAACCTGCCCAGCACTCTGGGGCCCCATTCGGTTTTTCGTAAGAGGTAGCCAATGAAGAGGAGAACCAGCACCAGCACCAATAGACCAGAGACAGGCGAGGACCGGTTTGAAAGGACATCGTCGTCGTCATCATCGTCATAGCTATGAGAGCCTGGAAACAAGGGTTTGGACCCGGCAAGTTCAAAATCAGAGGGAATCTCCAGCCCTGTATTGCTTCCGAATCCAACGGGGAGTTCTGAGCCTTGTGGGGGGATCTGTCCGGCAGCGTAGAGAACCATTTTGCCCAGAGTCCAGCTGACCTCAACGCCTCCAATCGTGTCAATAGGCTGGAAGGGATCCAAAAACCCCTTACCCTTCGCCTTTTCCACAGCTCCCTTGGTGTTGTTGACTTTTGTGCCGGGAATGTCCCCAAGGCTGATCCGCGGGATGCCAATGCCTTCATATAGCACATTGATTAACCATGATGCTTTGAAGCAGGCTTCCCGGGCATTCTCTGCCTTCTCCTCCATCGTCTTCTTTCTCTTGTCAAGTCCATGTTCAATTACTGACCAGTCCTGGCTGCAGAATGCATTAACCTCCTGCTCGTATGCGATCAAATCGTAGACTTTGCTCTCTTGACCAAAGACGCCATGTGTTGTGTGCCAGTACTCCGAAACGCCAATAAAGTGGTTCACATCAAAGTCAATGGCGGGCACATGCTGACCGTTGAGTAAGCACGGATCGTCCTTGCATGGTACATCTTTACCCAACAAGGGGTACGTCTTACGGAGGCATTCTTCAAACATGCCGGTTCCAACGAGCGCAACATCGGATGATTGTTTGCTACCGAGAGGCTCTCCCTCAATAGAGGTTCGCAAGCCTTTCGGCAGGCAAGGGTCAGGAATGTCGCCTTTCGCTTTGCCGTACTGCTCTTGTAAAGCTTCGACGAATCGCTCTCGCGCCTTGTTAGCCCCAAAACCGAGCCACGTAGCCGTAAAGACCTTGTACTCCATAGGAGAGCCATCTAGGCGTCGCAATCGGACCAGCTTAAGGTCGTTCGCGTGCTTTTCCGTCTCGGTTGTGTTTGGTGCAAAGGCAATCTGTGCCGACGCACCACCCATGTCTAAGAAGCCATAGGTATTATGGCCTTTTCCATGCGCATGTTCGTCGGGTTTATCGAAGCCGCCAAGTAGATAGTTGGCAGCGATCCAGCCGTACAAGCCCTCGGTCTCGCCTGAGATGACCTGAATGTGGCTTGCACAGTCGGGGAGCAGAAACTGTGTGTTGGCCTGTAGGTACGTGCAGATGCCTTGTAGCAACGCCGTTTGCTGGTGCTTGGGTAGGAAGCGAACGCCAGCAGTTGCCAGGAGGAAGATGGGCGTCTGGGCGACCTGGGATGCTGGTATCTCGTCGAGCGCGGTGTCGATTAGCGCTTTCAAATGATCGGGCCCGACAGAGGAGACATCTTCAGCAAAAGTAGAAACCCCCGGATGGATTTTCTTGCTCTTGTGGAGCTTCAGCTTTGGTAGTACGTGGGCATCGGAGGCAGACGCTTGCTTGAGGGCCTTGTTAGGATCCTTCCATTTGTAGATGTACACGCGGGTGCCGGAAGAGCCAGCATCGAGAATTACACCGTATTGACCTGCGCAACCATTCCATGTTAGCGGATACCGATCTCAGATTCCTCTCTCTCTCCTTCTTGGCACTTCCTCTTCCCAATTCCGAGCCGGTGTGTTTCGCGTCTTACCCATGAGAGCATGCGGACTGCTGATATCGAGTCCAGTCGAATCAAATCAAATCTCGCGCGGCGCCTATCGAGTCGAATCGGTTTGTTATTATTACTTGTATCGGGCTGATAGCCGCCAGCTGGGGCAACAAAGCGCAGCAGATGGATCGACTCGCGCGGCCGCCGATCCGTCAATGCGGGGGTTGGAGGAGAATCAAAGATCGCAAAAGTCGAGACAAAGAATTCTTTGTCTCTCGGCAGGTGGTTATCGAGGAATGGAGGCTTCTCGAGGGGGCGCAATCATTAGGCGATAAGAAATGTATTTAGTGTAGGATTGGCAGGTTACTTTGCGCAGGGGTATCGAAACAAAGGCTGGCGAGCGAAGTGAAGGAGATTGTGCCACAGAATTAGGGATTGCAGTAGGAATCGAGGCTAGGCGATCAAGCGACTGAACGAGAGACAATGCAACTATCGTGGTGCGACAGGTTGCGGACGGAGATGTGGAAGGGAAAACGGAAAACTGACATGGAGATTGAGAAAATGCTAAAGTCCAACACGGGTACGCATAATTACGTGGATTGGCAGCTGTCGAGCCACTGAGAGACGCTGAATGCCTCACGCTGGGGGAGCCGACGCCACAGTGCGCTACCATTGCGCCATGGGCAAAAGCATCTTATCTAAGTCACTGTACTTGAACATCCACGCAGAGAAATAACAATTCTAAGTTTCTATACTCTTCACAGCCTATCTGCAAAGTACACGCTATCAACGGCCACCATCCTTGTTTCGTCGCTGCTAAAGATAGAATACGAAGTCATCCGCAGTAGCTCAATCTGCCACTACAGGTGATGGCTGTGATAACACCACCAGCATCTGCACAACCCTGCAATACCGCCTTGTTGGACTTGGTACCCCACGCATCACGAGCATTTCCTCCATCCACTTGTCACCCGTGCTTGTACGAGTATGGCGTACCTTTATCTTGAACAACACTGAACGCAACATAAATGCCTCTCCCGGCGGCTGGCACAGGTTCCCCAGCTTCGGCCTGGGCTGCACTCGTTGCAAACGGCTGAATATCTTTGTACTCGTCCAAACGAGCAAGGGGCCGGATATCTTTGCGCAGGCTCCAACAGCCAGCACTGAACTGGGGGCTTCGTTTCCACCGATGAAATGTGCACTGTCGAATGCTGCTCGCGATTGTTATATGTTATCCGTTCATGTGTATGTACTTGCATCTCATCTGTGCATTGTAGTGCCGTCCTCCTCGTATCAAACTTCCGCTTGTCTGGATTGCGTAATCCGAGACGGCAAGCCAATTTTCGGATGAATGGTCGCATTTTGTATCGGATGGTTCTGGTATAGGTTACCTCGCTTTGAAAGCGTACAAATTGATCTCCTCTCTGCATGTTGGTTATGGGTACGGAGGTTTTGTGTGATAGGTGGCGCCTGCAACTTTTACGCGGCGACATGTGCACTGGTATGCAGTATATAAATGCTGCAGATGGCCTTTGTTCACTCGTAATATCTTGAACCCAATTTAGACTGAAAGAAGATCAATTACTGAACAATGCCGGTTGCTTTTCTTTCATGATTGTTCTCATTATAACTCCCTCCAATGAGATTGCCAAAACACATACTGCACAAAAATAGACACCAGTTCCGAACCGATATCTTGTCACTGAACTCAACTTTCTTTGTTATAGATCCCTCAATGGTCCATTCGCTCTGGTTTGACCAGGCGGTTCGCCAGACTTGAGCCCAGAGGTGAGGCCAACACTAGCCCAAGGGCTACCTCGCTGGGGGAAACCTGGAGAGTTCGCACCTGGCTGCCTTGTGCTGCCCCCCCTGGACAATCCCTTGTTGCTGGCGATATTGGGAGGGAAAATGTCTGCCCGTCCCTGGCCGCTTGTTGTACGGCGGTACGACTGGGTTTCAGGGGTGAGGCCTGTAATGATGGGTTAAGGCTGTATCCAATACCTGTGGATAGTGATGTACTTTACCATGAGATGGAGTCCGTTTTCTTGCCCAGGGATCTTCACGCTCGTTCCGTTGAAGATTGGATCCAGACAGACCTGTGGTGAACCCTGTAGTATCGAACCGTGGCCCATGGCTGAGAGAGTAAACTGGTTCATTTGTATCGTGGAAACTCGAATGAAAGCCGTGTGGTTCTTGGCCGTTCGTTGCGGGCTGCGGCGCTAAGCGGATGGAATTATCGACGGCATCGTACGCTGCTCGCTCAATTTGGCCCAATTCGGCTTTTCTCTTGACTTGAGTATAAAGCTCCTGTGTCTGGTAAAGCTTGCGATTTTTATCTCGAAGAGCCTCCGCCAGTTCGACATTCTTTTGTTGCAAAATGTCTCGCGAATTCGTCATACCTGCCTTGATAAGTTCATGAAATAAGAAGGGAAATCACCGACATCACTAACTTTCCAATTTCCCACGTAGTCCGTTGATTTTTGCATCAGCATCTCTATTAATTTGATCACATCGAGTCCACAAATCCGAGTACTTTTCTTGTAATGTCTTGCACAGGTGCTGCTGATAGTGTAGGTTTTGGGTGATTTGATACGCCCAGAAGCCGACAGCTCGTCCCGCGCACTCCATGACTATGCTGGGATTCAATCCACTGAGTATACATGCTTTATATTCTTCAGTTGGATTGAGATTGGTGAAGAAGATGCTGTCTGCTTTGGCCAGTTGGGCGTTGCATGCAGGGCAAGTGTTGCGCCCCTGATTTTCCAGTTGTGTGAAGCCAAGCTGTTTAGCGCATTCCGAACAAAAGATGTGACTGAATCGTAAGCAAACCATAAGCATGTATTAAATAAAGCTAGAAGATTGATCATGAGACTCACCTGCAGCTTGTGACGACCGCGTGGTCGGCAAGTTGCTTTCTACACTTGAGGTTATTGCAGGTGAGTGGATGATCCATTTGAAGCTGAGTTTACTCGTGCGTCCAACGGACCCCAGAAAGGGGAGCAAATGTAGATAAGTGAAATAAAAGGGAGTGGTAAACGTTATCGTAACTGAACGGCCAAGCAACCTGGAAGCTCTGAAGCGTTGTTTGGAACCAAAGAGTGCGATTGATGCGTTTGCTGTTGAAAGGTTAATTAGACTCTCCAAATCGTTTTCGGGGCGTTGGGGCAGATGAATGGTATGGGAAAAAGCCCTCGTCTTTATCAGAGTTTCAATCGGGATGCACTTGCTTCTCATATCGCCGGCCACAGGTCTCTTCTAAGGCAGCAGCTCGGTTGTAAAGTCTCCTGCAGGGCTGGCACTTGCCTCTCACGAATAAGGGAGGTACAGTCTGAGGATTTCTTTCTGTCTGAGCCTTCCACCTTAATGTTAGAACTATGGATTGCATTATATGCAAGGAAATGGCCTAAATATCTAACGATGGGTTGGGCAATGAAGTACAACTGTTGCCATATCTTAGTATGGCCCTGTAACATACAGTCAACCTGCCTTTTCAAGCCTGTCCGGCTTTATATCTTCATTGCAGAATCTTCTGGTATAATATGACTACCGCCATTCTATGGATGTTCCTGTGGGTTTAATTCAAAAATAGCAGCTGCTATGCCCATGTATGATTCCCTGGCCCTTAAATGCAATTGATCTCGTCTTGCCTACATCGACCCCGTGTCATCAAATTTGCGTGAGTGAAAGTCTCATAATCGCAAGACTTGGCATCGGCTCTCAATCCCATCAAACACACAAGTATTGTCAATGGGAACATATTGGTTTGTAATGATTTTGATCACCTCTTGCGCCACCATCCCTCCAGTTACGGCAGAGATGTTGTGCAGCTCCCCGCCAGCTGCTCGTGCTAATTCTTGAGCCACCTGAGTCAAGCGCTCATTGCCCTCAAGAGCCGGTGCCTTTTGACAGACTGCAGTTACAATCTCATCAGCGGATGCCGCCGAAGCATGCGATGGCACGCTCAAGGCAAGGTAGATGGGGATCAGCGATGTCGGCATTTCCGGTCCGGCAATGGCAGCGATTTCGTCATTGCTTAGCTCTCGTTCTATTTGGGAGATGGTCTCATATTAGTGACCGGCCTAAAGAGTTGCATTGAGGTCGTCACCTACCTATGATTTGCTCCATGCTTGGCGGCGCTTCCCCTGTGTTGTTGATGAGTTTAACGAAGCGAGCATTTTTGCAAAACAGCTCTACTTCCTCCAAGCCGATGTTTTCACCTCCCGATATTTTGCGGACTCTGGACAAGACGTCGTTTACATCTTGCCTAGCTTTGTCCTTGTAGATGTTCTGCAACTGGATGTAGACGCTGGACTGCGCCTTCATATCAGGCAAGCCACCAGCCACGGGTAGGCGTTCGTTCTCAGCATAAAATTGTTTTAAAGCTTCGGCAATGATCCAAAAGCTGGACTTGGAGTCTTGTTCATCCGTATGCTCATAATCAAAGACCTGTTTAAGCGATGAAGGGACTGGTTGCAGAGTCACATGCTGCATTACAGCTGCGAAAGCTTCGTCAAAGTTCTCTTCACCTCCCTCAGGATTGTCTCGCCTTGTGGCCTTGGATATGAGTTGGCGAAATTCTGTCTTTTCGCCGTAAGATGTTGGGTAAGCGCCGCCGTGTTCCTTCTTCCAGATGTCAAGATAGTAAAGCAAAATTACAACCATGGGAATATGACCATGGTCGTGGTGGTCAAGATTGTCGATGTCTTTGGTCATTTCGTTGGCAAACTCGGATAGTTCTGGCCAAGGGGATAACAGTCTCAGGTCTGTCGTTGCAGTCTGGTCGGGGTGAGTATCCACAGTGGGAAATGTTCCTGGTAATGTGATCCGGAAGTAGGAGTAGAAGCCTACTGAGTGGATGGCTATAAGTGGCGTCCGATGCTGACGGCCGTATGCCTCAATGGCTTCAAGCATTCCAGGTTGTAAAGGATGGCTATACATGATCATGGTGAAAGTCTCTGGTGCATTAAGCAGCTCTTGAAGACTGGTGGCATCCTGGGTCAATTAGCCCTGAAGACGCCATAGATAACACGAGGAACGCACCGTCACGGCAGAATTCCAAACTCCATCCACCTCTGGATTAAGCTCAAGGAGCAGCTCCGTACAACACTGAGCTCTTGATTTACCGAGACATGATTCGTCTAGGAAGAAGTTGACGCCCAAGTCCACATCCTGGACAACGGCACCATCGGCAATAGTGAATTTGCCAATGCCTAAGTAAAATTACAATATTAGGGCCCGCAATCAGACTCGGTCTTTGGGTAAAGGACCAACAAACCGGGTAAGACAAGGTTCTTCAGCGTTTCAATACCAACTGTGCCGGCTCCCGAGTTAATAAGCAAAAGATTGGCCGATTCCAGTGCGGCCTGGCCTGAAGCAGCCCACAGCCTGAGCTGGCGATCATACTTCTTTTCCTTGTCTGAAGGACCCTGAGGTATGAGAGTCGTTTGTTCCAGCTCCTCTGTCATACTGTGCAAGCGCTGCGTGTGTGGATGCTTTGAAGTTGAGATGACTCCTGGGCACCAGCGGGGTAGTGGTAGATGGCCCGGTGCGTTTGTTGTGAGGATGTGAGTGAGTGAGGGAGTGCTATTGAAGGGGTTCAAAACTTGGAGTAGTGATACTGTATTCTTTGGCAAATTCCTAGCCAATACAGAGCTTCGGATGTTGCATGGGCGACGATTGATGCAGTTGTTGGACAATGTATGTACTGGAAGCTAGGCACATGTAGCTATCGAGGGGCACAATCCAAGCTCCTACTATTACCCGATACAGACTAAGCAGAGAACGTAAGCTTCACTTAGTCCGCATTAGGTATCAATAGTTTCGAGAATTATCTTTATTTCAATACATTTGCTCTGTACGAGATTCATCCTCCATACGTCCACTGCAAAGAAGAATTATCTGCCACCTGAATATATTTATTTATTTAATAAGAGCATCTCGCCTAATATGACAGTGATATTGCTTCTTGACGGTAGGGGCGTCTGTAATTTCCCCTTGCATCATCTCTACTGGAGGTGCTCTTTGTTTTATAGAGGCGCATGTGCCTCTTCCGTTCAACATATTGCATTCACTTGCATCACCTGAACAGAATATGTCACAATACTCCCGTTTTTATCAGAGTGAAACCGTACGAACACAACTTTTAGCCTCATGCCTTTCAGCTCCAACAGGCACCTACGCTTCTTGTGCCATAATTATGGACTCTCGGTCATATCCTCTCCCTGTGCAGATACTGGTAGTTTTGTCTCCAGAATTCTTTATTATTCCCCTCGATCTAACTATAGCCAAGCGAGTGCCATGATGTCAATTTAAACTTCCCATACCTGTGGCCATGAGGTACGAGTTTTCACCCCTCTGGCTTCTCGTCAGTAGCAGTTTTGGTATAGTAGGAAGGCGTGGGTGTGATTTACAGACACTCAAAAACTTACACTAAGCATGTAGCAAACGGAGAGAGTCACTTGACAATACCTAATTTCTAGAACCAATCTTGTTTGCAGTCTTCGACGACCAGTATAAGAGGCTGTCCTTCCACCAGCTGCACCTGACGAACTAGACCCTCTTACCTACCTATCTCGATTTACCTCTCCGTTTGTTCAACTACTCTCGCTTTTTGCACTCAACACGATCAGTTATCCTAATATTCCTTCCTTCTTTTTGGAATCCGCTTGTTAATATTAGAAGGCGAGCTGCTTTTTGGATACCTTTCGGCATTCTTTTGGAGCCAGCTCGGCTGATAGAGAGACACATTCTGGGTCATCCTATAAGACAGCAACAGAACCTCCATCTCATATTATTCCTCAATTAAGCCTGTTAGGCTGGGATTCCCGAATCTCAAGGTTCGTTTCCGATACTGGGATAATGTCGCCTCCTTCGAGATGCTCCAGCTGTGACGACCCCGGAGATCCTATGGAAACAACACCACGCGTGGATGATGAACGAATTCCTGAAGCCAATATCGCTCCCATTCCTACATGGCAGTTTTGGTTGCTTTGTTGTGGGTGAGTGCCAGTGCCGCTCAAAGGAGAGCTTACATGTATTGACGCCAACTGATCTGTTCCTATAGAGTCTGTTCAGGCCTGCTACTGTCGATCATCGACTCCTCCATCCTAGCAACCAGTTTATACACAATCGGGGTCGAGTTTCAAGAGCATAGTCTGATCAACTGGGTCGTGCTAGCCTATACTTTAGGCTATGCTGGCTTCATCGTGTCATGCAGCACTCTTTCCGATATTGTTGGACGGCGTAATGCTTTCGCAGCTTCATATATACTCTTTGTGTCCTTGTCTATTGCATGTGGCTTTTCTAAGCACGTAAAGTGGCTGATAATATGCCGAGGATTTCAGGGGATTGGCGGTTCCGGTCTGTGAATACGAAACCCTCCCCTCTTACACAAAGATAGTGAAAGGCTTACAGTACTTTGCAGGCCTATATGCCTTATCAATGATCATATTGACTCAGCAGTGCCCACCACAGCTTCGTCAATATATCGGTAGCATTATTGGAGTGGTCATTGCCAGCGCGGGCATTCTTGGGCCTGTCTTGGGAGGGATTTTCGCCCAATATACGAGCTGGCGGTGGATTTTTTGGATGAAGTCTGCAATCCCGACCATGTATATGATGAAAGAACTCAGCTAACGTGGAAGACAGCGGGCCCATTGGGTTTGTTTCTCTGATTGTTTTCTTTATTAGCTGGCCCAGCAGAAGGAAGATATTTCATACACACACCACACCGTGGAAGCAGTTTGACTTTGTCGGTACCGTACTAGGAATCACGGCCTCGATTCTCGTGGTTTTTGCATTTCAGAATGCCGGTGAGTCCGAACCAAAGACCTGGAGGCGCCCGATATTCATCGCACCATTGGTCGTTGGTTTGGCGTGCTGGCTGGCACTCTTCGCCTGGGGATTTGCTATTGAGAAGTGGTTTGCTCAATCTATCGCTCCCGTCTTTCCTATAGAGCTGTTACGAAATCGACGCTACGCGAGAAGCATGTTGACTACTTTTCTACTGGGCTATCCTTATTTACTCCTGATATTCTTATTTCCAATAAGGATGCAAGTCGTGAGCGGCAAGAGCCCACTCCTTGCAGGGCTAACTTTGCTTCCTATGCTAGGAACAGCTGCTATCGGGAGCATGGTCAGCGGAAAGGTCAACGCAGTCAAAGATCATCTCTCTGGGACCTTGCGTTGTGGTTCATGGCTCATGGGTCTTGGATTTGTGCTCCTCACAACAGTTAGAGGACCTGAAAACGACGCAAGAGCTCTTGGGTTTCTAGCTTTCGTGGGGTTTGGTTTTGGTCTTTTTACAGCAGCAGCAACCAATGTGATAAGTGTTGATGTTCTGACACGCCAAAAGGGTAAGGAGGTCCTTTATTCTTTTACATTGCTTTGTTCGTATAACCTGCTGACTCTTTTGCCTTTTAGCGTCAGCTCATGGCATTCTTGCGCAAGCGAGAATATTAGGGGGAAGCCTTGGCGTAGCAGTTTCTACGTTGTTCTTACACACCGAAGTCATTAACCGACTTCCGGATATTCTGACCCCCGAGGAGCTGGCTTTCATGGAGGGCGACATGAAAAATCTAGTGGGAGATAGCCTAGAAGCTGTCAAGAAGGCATATTCGTCTGCGTTCCACAAGAGCATCACAACGGCCGCTGTAGCAGCTTGTTTGGCGGTGCTATCGACAGCCTTTATGAGCTGTCATATACGCAAAAGGGACATCGAGCAGCAGCTTGAAACGACAGTTCCGAGAGATCGACAACAGAGAGGGGTGGAACCTTTGATTCCGTTGCAGGACGTTGCGCATTTGGAAGAGCCGATGAAGTGAATTAGGCATGCTGTCTGTTTTGGATGTAACACTCATGCCTGTAACATGAGTGTTTCTGTCCATGTTTATGAGGGATCTGAATGACGGAGAGGTGGATATCTTCTTGATTAGCACCCTTGGACGGTTGCAGGAGAGCTGTTTTTGGCTCTTGTATACAACAACATCTTTTTGCTGGAGCACAAGCATTAGCAGACAACGACTGGCCCTGACCACCCTGTGCCTTTTTTGCTCCCCTGCTGTGTTTCTTCTTCCCTTCGCTCTTGTCTTCTTATGCTCTTGACTCGGAAGACCTGATAATCGGATAAGCGAGGATAAAAATCCGCGGAGAAATAATTGCCAAGCGTGGCATCCTCGAGACGGTAAAAAGTGTTGCCGTCTGCTGAAGATGCAATCATTTTGCATGTTGTTTCTGCCCCACGTTGAGAAGCGCGGGGTCATTTTTCAACCGGGAACCAAGGTGGGGGAATTGGCGAATTTGGAGACGCCCTGGAGCTTGTCGTCATTTTTGTATAGCATGATGAATGATACTAATTCCCTCTAAGAGCTGTGCTTGGAATCATTTGTAGCTGCTATTATTGCCCTCAAATCAGATACATGAAATGTACATGTTGTGACTCAGTCCTTCAGCTACCTTACCCAATCGTAAACTTGTGCCCTTGGTATCTCATATCTCGTCCTCTCCAATTTGGAGTCAACATCAAACCCCACTTTTCCTTCTACGACTTTCCATCTTCTCTCTCTTCTCCTTGAGCAATTGGCTAGCGTGCAAAAGTCAACGGAGAAGCATATCTTTATCTTGATGCCTTCCGTTCAAATCAGAACTACCGCCAATCTTTTCCGCACTGCTGTGACTCGTTCGTCTTTCTTACAAAGCGGCTACAACCGGTCCTTGTCTAGATATAGTCAGAGACAGACCCTTGCTTCTCCGTCTCTCACCTTTAAACCAGCCGTCTCACAAAACAGATTCACCATCTTTACGCGCACCATGGCTTCATCTGCGGCAGCTAAGCGTCTGGAGGGCAAGACTGTCCTTATTACTGGAGCCTCGTCTGGAATCGGACGGTCGACGGCTCTCGAGTTTGCGCGGACCAACCCCAATGGCAACTTGCGACTCATTGTGACGGCTCGCCGTGCGGAGTCGCTGGAGGAACTTGCTGCTGAGATTCACAAGGAGACTAACAATGGAGTCAAGGTGTTGCCTGTGAAGCTTGATGTGAGCAAGGCGGATGAGATCCGGGGCTTTGTGAACAGTTTGCCGGAGGAGTGGAGGGATATCCACGTCCTGGTCAACAATGCGTAAGTTTTTCCCTCTTCTTCTTATGATATACGATGAAAAGAAGTATTACTTTTCATCTATACTGTCAGTAGCTTTGCTAATTCCTTACTGTTCAGCGGACTTGTTAAGGGTGTGGCCAAAGCACCTGAAATTGATGAGGAGGACATGAACATTGTCTTCACGACAAACGTCACTGGTCTCATCAACATGACACAGGCCATTCTGCCAATTTTCCAGAAACGACCAAACGGTGGCCAGGGAGATATTATCAACATTGGTTCCATTGCCGGTATGTTTTTCGGGGTCACTTCACGACTTTTCTCTCATCCTTTCGCCTTCACATGTGATATTAACCTCCGTCTCTTTATAGGCCGTGAGCCGTACCCCGGAGGCGGAATCTACTGTGCCAGCAAAGCTGCCGTTCGAAGCTTCACGGATAGCTTGAGAAAGGAGCTTATCGCCACTCGAATCAGGGTCATTGAGATTGACCCCGGCCAGGTTGAAACGGTAAGGCAGCTCGAGGTACCAAAAATCAAGCTTGCACATTGCTTACAGCTGCTGCCATTAGGAATTTTCCGTTGTTCGTTTCTACGGTGACAAGTCCAAGGCCGATGCTGTCTATGCGTAAGATTCCACCCGTTCTCCTCTGCCGTTCCGCTTATATCATCACTTTATTGTATGGGCACTGACACCCACCACCAGTGGCTGCGACCCCCTCACTCCTGAGGATATCGCTGAGGTCATTGTCTTCGCCGCCACCAGAAAGGAGAATGTCGTCGTTGCCGAGTCTCTGCTCTACCCCAACCACCAGGTAAGTACCCCTCGTTCTCTCGATTCTTAGTTGAGGCTTTCTGGTTACTGACGAGCGAAAAGGCATCCGCTCTTATCATGCATCGCCGACCAACTTAGACAAAATGAGTGTATAGACAGATGAGCACGTCGATATAAGGTAAAATATGTGCACATAGGGTAGATTTAAAATAAATAAATAAGCATTTAAACATTTAGCAAATAAACTGGATTGATAAATTGAAAACTTCTATGTATCTGCTTTAAGATGTTCGAAAATTTCTCTTGCCCCTAACCCACGACCAGCCGAAGCCAGAAAAGAATCAGGGGCCTTCTAAGAACGAAAATTTGATCTACCAACGTTCCGTTAAGAATCCATTCTGAGATGAATCGGACTCTTGCTGCCACAAGGACAGCACCGCTGGGTTGTGTTCGTTGAAACACGAGATAATGGGCGACACACACACACACACACACACACACGTGGGGAGAGGGGGCAATCTTCCACGAGACTTCATCGTTATTCATCAATTGACTGACCTTGTTCGTACAAATCATCAAGCCTTTTTTTGTTTCTCTTTCCTTTCCTAAATCCAAGGACGCCACGCTAAAAGAAAAATGAAACAACTGGAGAGACCCATCCAGCCAGACCATGAACAGTCTTGAAAAGAGGCGGCGATTCGCCTTCAGCTTACACATTGCAATCAACATCCTTCCATATTTCAATCTCCGATGTGTTGAAACAAGGGAGAAATGGACTCGCCATAATGATTTCGGCGGATGGCTTCAGACAGGAGAAACGACAGATCCAAAATGACCAGCTTACTCGAGTTTCTCACTCGCTCCTCGTTGATGGGGAAGCTGTTGGTAACAACAATGGTGTCGATGCACTCGCATGCTTGCAATTGCTCCAAACAGTCTCCGCCAAAGACACCATGGGTAGCAATGCAGTACACCTTCTTGGCCAAGCCTTTCTTGACCACGGTCTCAGCCGCAGCGATCCACGACCCTGGCTTGTCAATCATGTCATCGACTATGAAGACGGTGCGATTTCTCACGTCTCCCACCAGCGTGATCATGTGCTCTGCCCTAGGATCCTCAAAAGCATTGTCTTCCTCGTCGGAGCTGCTTTCGCCGTTGGCGCCGCCGGCCAGCGACTGACGATCGGGCGCAAAGAAGGACGAAGCATGAGACATGGTCATCGGATCATCGCCCTGCACGCTGTTACCCGCCGTAGAGCGTCCCGGAGACGGGAAGTCATCTTCGACAATGTGGCCTTGAATCAGCCGGCCATGAATGACTTCTTGGGCACGACGATCATCATAGTCAGAGTCGAGATGCACAGCGCTCTTTCGCCGTGTTGCGGGTTGATCTGCTTGGACAGGATCAGCAAGATTCGTCGCACTTGTCGACAAATCGCTAGACCGAATAGGCGAACCTTGCGAGTCGGTCACAACTCTAGTACTCCTAACGGGGGTCCTTGCTCTGTCGTGGCTTGGGGCGGGCTTGTCTGGCCGACTTCCACTCTGCGCCGTGTCCTTGAATTCGGACCGCTGATCAAGCCCATCGAGATGGTTCATGATCATGCTGCCTGTCATATTTGTTCCGCGTCTCCTCTCGGTGGTGACCAGCCCAAAGTTCAGCTTGAGAGCGTCCGCGAGTGACGTAACTCGTTTTGTACCACCAGGGTTTTTGGAAACAACCACAGCCTCTCGCCAATTTGGCACATTTCGCTTGATCCATTTGGCAATGATGGGTTCAGCATGGAGGTTGTCAACGGGACACCTGAAGAAGCCTTGCATCTGCGATGCATGAAGGTCCACAGTGATGACGTGCTTAACTCCAGCGACGCCGAGCAAGTTGGACAGCATCCTTGCGGTGATAGCTCCTCTAGGAGACTTCTTCTTGGACTGTCGGCTGTAGGGAAAGTACGGGAGCACAGCTGCGAAACAATGTCAGCAATGTTCCACAGCAAAGCCGGTGCCCGTTGAGCGAACCTGTGACCTTGTTGGCAGAGCCACCCTTGCAAGCAGAGATCATGATGAGCAACTCCATGATGGAGTCGTTGATCCTGGGACTCCCAGACTGGACAACGAAGACATCCTTCTCTCGGACGCTTGTGAGGATCCGGACACTTGTCTCGCCCTTTGGGAGTCAGTTAGTATCTGCCGAGGCCGACAGTCAAGGAACCAAAAAACGGCAACGAAGAGCTACAGGAAGCTCACATTGGAGAATTGGGTCAGCTCCGCTTGGGCAGGAGTCATGCCCAAGTTCTCACATATTTGGCCTGTCAGAGCTGGGCATGAGTTGCCGGCGAAAATGAGCGTGTTGCGCATTGCGACCGACCCTTGGGGGGAGAAGGAAAAAAAGTTTGAAGAAAAAAGTTGGGTGAGACGAGGAGCTTTTTTTCTTTCTCTAGGCGTGGAGCCCTAGGCAATCATACTGTGTGGATTGCACGTGAGGTTACGGTGCGATCTACCGCTGCCGCCAATATCATTGGTTCTGTTGATGGGCCGTCAATCGTTTAGACCTTGCAGCCTCCCGCATAAAACACAGTGCGATTTCGACACAGATCATCAAGGCGGGGCAATTCAGCTGCAGCAAGTGAATTTTGTCGGATTATCGCGAGCGTTATCATAATGCATGCATTGGCTTTCCGATTGTTGCTTAGACCAACAACCAGTTCCACAAAAAACATGTTGCCGCCGATGTAATATCTGGAAAGATATACATGACTAGCATCCCGCATTGAGGGCCCAGCATCTTCATGAATTGATGAGAATTGGTCGGCATGGGAATTCCTCACCTGATTACCACCCTGGAGAATTATGCCTCCCACGAGATCCTTCAGCATCAAGTGGTAGTCATTGATGGCCCAGCATTGGCTTATCATGTTCTTCATCTTTGCAGATTCCAAGGGGCCAATCAGCCGTCATATGGCCTTCTCAGTCGACTCGTCATTGAATGGTTGGATCGTCTGGAAGATCAGCAAGTGACCATGTCAGCTTCTTCCTAAATCCAGAAAGTAGTAAGAAAGATGATAGCTAACGCCTTAACAGTCGAGCCATATACTTCGATGGCTACCTGCCAGAGTCCAAGCAGCCTGTCCGTATGGAGAGAGTGATGAAAGTAACTTCCCGGCTCAACTTGTTCTACTCTTCAAATTCCATGGCCTGTCCTCGCAAGCATGTGGTTCCTACAAATGATATATATCTAGATGCAAACCGCCCGGGAAGGTTTACCGATAAAACCTCCTTGGACCCCAGCTTTCTTGTGCCCGCAATCATTGATGCTATCCGGGGTAATCCTCGATACCGAGAAAAATGCTTCATTATTCCAGGAGAGGCTGACGCCTACTGCGCTTCGGACATTGCGAAGCATGGTGGTACCATTTTGACATCCGACTCGGATCTACTTGCTCATGACCTTGGCAATGGCAAAGTTGTCTTCTTCCGAGATATCCATGAGAATGCTAGTTCGATGCTGGCTTGCGTGGTGTATGCGCCTCGTGAGATATACACGAAAATAGGACTGTCAAAGTCCGTGGAAGCTTGTCGCTTAGGGTATGAACGGCTGCGTAACCCCAACGCAACGCTTCCTATGCTATTAAAGGTCTGCTCGAAACCTATAGTACATGCTCTGGACTATGATCATTTTCGTCAACAATATGTCCACCACGAAAGTGCTCCAGTACCGCACTTGGTGGACGGTAGTTTACTCCCGTTGAGCGGCCTTGACCCCAGAGTGTCAGAACTGCTCCTTCAGATTGGGCAGGCGCCTAAAGCCAAGAACGCCCGAGAAAAGGCCAAGATTTTTCTCCCATCATTATTCGATAATCCCACCAAAGGCACATCTTGGGACGCAAGCGCGCATGTCCGGACATTGGCTTACACAGCGGCGTGCCGCTATCTTCAATGTCGCCGCTCTATGTCAGTTGAGGAATACAGAAGGGTGCAGAACATCAATCAAAAGGGACGGGAAATCTCACTGCTATCCAGCGATGAGGCGAATATAGCGGCTAGTGAGCTGCTGGAGCTTTTGAGACGAGTAGGAGAAACGGATATAGCACAGCAATATCGGTGGGTTCTGCTGTGCGTGATACTGGATGTTATGGAATGCAACCAGCAAGGCAAGAATTCACATGCACTAATCACGCTTCAACGAAGTGGTGGCAGCCCGGCCACTGCTGGGGATAAAATTTCTTGGGATATAATTCACTTTAGCGCACACATTCAAGCCGGGCTGTATTCACTTCGCATATTGAGCCAAGTCCTCTCTTCTGTAATCATCGAAACTAAGAGTGCAGATGAGTTCACGCTTAACCTCATTCAAATTGCCCGCAGTTTATCGGAGCTCCCACCTCTCCATGAATTTCCAGATGTTTGTCTGCTATCTGATTTCTTAAAGGCATCAAGAGAACACCAGATATTGAACATTCTATCAGAGTTTATAGCTTTTGAGCAAGCACCATCTCAAGGCGAACATTCTCGTCCGAAAGCAGAGGACAAGAAACCCAGCAAGCGGGGAGGCAAATCACAAGGCATAAATAAGAAGACAAACAAGAAGACAAACAATTCAAACGCGAATATAGGAAACAAATTCAATGTCCTCTCCATAGATACCTAAATAATACTGGATCTGATGGTCAAATTTTTTTCACACATTCATCCAGGAGGGGCGTAGGCTATGTTCCCGGGTATTCAGCATCCCAAGTTTGCCATCGAGCATCCTGCGTCTTAAGCATAAAGCCACTAATAATATCAGCTACTACTAGATAGAGGAATACAACTAAAGTAACATATACTAGAAAGAAGTTGCAGATGCTAGAAAGAAGTCGCAGATACTAGAAAGAAATAGAAGATATTAGAAAGAAGTAGTAGACACTAAAGGAAGTAGGAGATCCTGGAAGAAAATAAGCATATAAGAAGATGATAGAAGTAACAGGAGGGAGCATATGGTGATAGTGGCAGATATTTAAGAGATCTGTTACATACAGGTATTTGGGTACATAGATAAGTATCTACACGTTTAGTAAATAGAAGACCTTTCTTTTCCATGAATCTCTTTCTTACACTCAAACTTCACGCAGTCACTGGGGGCTGTATGGCTACTTGGGGAAGAAAATGTATTTCTCTTGATCAAGTTTTCTCATACTGGAGTAGCTTCATGTATATCTGCAAGTAATTGCAAAAGTGCAACAGGGGCCTCCTTCTCGTCTTCAACGTCCTGCAACAAATTCTCTTGAGTGTCTCCATTACCAGCGGCGCGAAGTATCCTCCAAGCTCGGCGGAACTCATTGCGGATTGAGACGATGCCGTTGTGTGTCACCGTTCGTGCCACATTGTGGTCTATTTCGAATGGATCTTCAATGGCGAATAGAAACCGAAGTCGGATCTCTTTGACCTCTCCATTCTTGGCAGTCTGTGGAGAGGCTGGCGGTTGAGTATTTTGGCGTGAAGGTGTATCGGGTGTTTGAGGCTTATCGGCATCTGTCTTCTGCACCTCATATACCGTTTTTGCCCCCGTCCAGCCCTTTTCTTGCTTTGTCAGAATTCCTCCATGAGTTCGCAAACTAATGACATTGCGGCCCCAATCAAACCCTCTACTGAGACCATTGCCCATCATGCCGGTTTGAGCGAAATATTCGAAAAATCCTCTCAGTAAGTGCCCCACGCTTTCGGTGTTTCTGTTGAGCTGATTTTGGGATGCCAGTCTAATGATTTCTTCCTCGTTTCTCCAGAATTGGATATTGTAGCCTCGGCAGCTTATCGTGGACTGTATCTCGGCCGGAGTCAAGTTGTTGGGAGGCGCCGGTGCGAGCTGTTGGAGATTGGGGCACACAAAGGGCTGCGCAACATTGACGAGATAGTGCAATACCATCAGCACGTAACCATAGCTACTCAAAGTGCCACGGTATCCAGAGTTGATGCCACGCATTTTGGCCCAGTGCTTGACAAATAGAATCATGGGTCGGACTCTCGGGTCAGTATGCGAGTAGCAGCGTAGCAAAAGAGTGTTCTGGAGAGCCAGGTGGGCAGAAAAGTTGATGTCGCATTGTACCCCAACATCGGATTTGGGAAACTCGAGCGGATCTCGTTGCCTCTGACCAGATTGATTTGGTGCCATTGTATGGGGATCAGTAAGTGCCTTGATCTTGCCAAAATCTGAAGAGAACTCGACGGGAATTGACACGACATAATATGGCTTCCCAGGCGCCATCATTCTCTTCTCGAGGGGCTGCCGCAATATTTCGATATAGCGTTTGATAGCAGGTACGACAGCAGCGTCGTACAATTTATTTTCAATAGCCCTTTCAAATTCATTGGCTAAATGAATACTTTTGTGGCGACATCCTACCGCTTGAATCGTTGCCTGTTCCGGGAATTGTTCAAGATAACCACTCAGTTGATCTCGTATCTCTTCACGAAATACCCCAGCAACATATCGGCTGGTTATGGTTGATTGAGGTGCGGGCGCCGAGATTCCTAAGCTGTTTACGATGCTCTTTATCCTGGTGTAATATTGCGAAGGTGTCTCTTGTTGATCTTGCTCAAACAGCAATAGTTGAACGGAGGGAATTTTCTTGAGCTTCTCGAGGGCCAATTGAAGTTCTCTGTTGTATGTGACAGGTTCAATATCCAGCAATGACCTAAGTTGCAGAGATTCCCACTGCCTTATGACTTTGTCATCCTCAGGTTGTCTTAGAGGGAGCCCTTCGCGCCATGACTTCCATTGGCGCAGTATGTTTTCTCCCTCTACTTGCATAAACACTCCAAAAAGAGAGCGATGGTCGAGTGAGTTTGAACGGGCATTCGCTGCAGCGATGGAAGGAAGTCTGGCAACATGATCCCGCAGAGAATCGTCTGCTAGCCCCTGGACAAATGCGTAACAGACACGGTTTAGAATGTCCCAGTCGGCTGCCGTAAAATCTTTGCAGTTTGAAGCAGTAATATCGTAGCCACCAGCTCTCCGTAAAATGCGCTTGGCTAGACTATAATAGGAATCTAGTGAGTTTTTAGGGCCTTGTTGAAGTCGAAATCGCTGTGGTTCAGTAGAGTCCTTGCAGAGTATCTCAAATTCGCCCAACGAATCTGAACCAGTCTCGGTGACTCCGCTTTGTTCGTGATCTTCGTCCTCGCCTCGAACAGAGCCATCATTGTCAGGCTCTATTTCAGCAGCTCCGGATTGAGTCTCTTTATCAAGGCCACGCTCCCATTTCTCGCGTGCTTCCAATAGACCTTTAAAGAGGTCTTCAGGAGGAAGCTCACATATCTTGATAATTGGGACTCTCGTGCGACTTAGAAGCCTGGCACCAAGCCCTGCCTGCAAGAATGCCTTTTCAATCAGTCGAGGTATAGGGGAACCAGGAGCATCAGGTGGAATCTTGGACAGAGGCGATACCAAGCCCAGGTCCAGGTCAGAGGCTTTTGTAGCAAAACCAGAAGACAAGCTGCCAAAACACTTCAGCTCCACGGAAAAGGGGGGGATCCTGTTGTTTATATCCGGTTGTTCTTCAAACTGACCAGCTTCAAACTGGCTAATGACTTCGCGGCAGATGTGCTCTATACGTTGACGAAAAGCTTCCTTTTCAGCTATCTCGGACCTGTCGATCTCGGAGTGACTCAAGACCTGATGACATAACATATCTAGTAGGCGGGCCTGGCTCGCGATTTCTTCGGGCCTGATGGAGCGATGTTGATAGTGAAATGACCCTGAGCTCTGATGATGTGCACCACGAGACGGGGCTGCATTATATTGTCTCATGGCCGATGAACTCTGGTATTGAGGCCTATTCGCAGATGCCTGTGGAGGACCGTTCCATGAATTTCGAGAACGGGGAAAGTCTGAGGGTCTCGGGCCTGAGGTTGAACGAGACTGCTGCTGCTGCTGTGGTGGCCATTGGGCATTCCTAGCCGGAAGCTGCTGCCGAGGCTCGGGGCTGACTGTGAACTGCATCTGACGTCGTTGAGCCTGATTTGGTCGCCTTCTTGACGTGGAAGGAGTGCCCGCTGGATTGGTGCTTTGGTTGGCATTGGTATTGGCATTGGCGTTAGCATTCGTGAGAATCATATTTCGTAGATGACCCTCAAGCCCAGAGGCTCCGTCACCTTCAACACCACGTTCTCGTTGATTAGGGAACATCTTGTTTAATCAACGGATACCTAGGTAAAGATAAGTGTGAAGATTGCAGCAGTGGCGAGCTTTCAGCACTTTAAAAACTTTGGTATCTTATCTTTACAATTGACATCCTCAATATCGCAGAATCCTGGCTTCAATCTTCTGATATGTAAGTTTTAAAGCACCTGATAAGGGAGAGGGGAAGCGAGACGAACAGGAAGTCACTTCGGTACTGAGTGGTACACAAGAGGGGAATTGCTTTTTTTGAAGCAAGATATCCAAGAAATGGATACCACGAAGTGACTTTGGAGAAGCGGAGCTAGAGGATGCCAGCAAGCTGTTAGTGCAACGCTGCCAGAGCTTAGCCTTAGCAGGTACCGTCGGCTAAGGGCCTCAGCTGCTGCATGACACAGGCCCCAGCTACGGCATTGAACCTGGCCCGACCTAGCAAGGTACCATGGCGCTGTAGATGGCTATTCCACCCCGTCCTCAAAGCCAATAAATCAGATATTAGAGGAATATAGCTATAGTACCAGGTACGAGAGAATTACAGTTGTAGCAGCAGATGATAGAAAAATATAGCTGTAGTAGGAGATACTGGAGAAATATAGGTAGCTATAGGAGCAGATACCAGAAGAAAGTAGCGATACTAGCAAAAGTACTACCTGGGAACCTGCAATTGATGAAAAGGCTTCAGGTTGCCCTCACATCTTGCTCCGTCACTTGAACTCTACTCGATCTACGGGGTGCTGTGTACCACTACTAAAATACTAAACTAGGTGTACTTTGTATCCCATTCAGTGCCGGTTTTGGGCGTTTTCTTCTAGCTACCTAGTATATCTGTACCTTCGTAGTATGTAGCCTTGGTGGTATCGAGTGGTGTTACTGAGTGGGTGTTAGAGGCAGCAAACAATCGAGCTCGGCCCTTTGTCATCAAGCGTCATAGGCAGGCAGCGGCAGTTCTCCGGCCGCCGCCCTAGAGAACCGCTACTAGTAGGCACCGCCTAGCTCTCGAGCAACCGCCGCCTATATCCTCTTCACATCAACCTTCAACACCATTTCTCTCACAGCTGTGTTGCGGCAGCATCTCTTGTTCAATTTATCCGCTGTCTCATCTGCTGCGAACCGTATGAATCGCGCACTCTGACACGACACTTTCTCACGTAACACGCTGTAGCGATCAGCTGCAGCTCTTTGTTCAGCTGCGGAGGCACGACAACCTCGTGCAAAGAGGCCGCGTGCCTTTTTTGCTCAGTTCAAGCATCGAAAGCTAGCGCTCATCACAGCGTCGAAATGAGCGCCCCTGCTGGAAATCCCAATGGCGCTCCGCGGAGCCAAAAGCCCAATCCCCTGCGTCCTCTTCGGAAGAAGCCTGTCAACCCACTTGTCGCATCATCTCGCAAACCAGGCCCCAAGCCCAATCGACCGCCTGCGACACCATCGACTTCAGCGCAAGGCGCCGCGAATGGGGCAAAGCCCAACATCGAAGAGCTACGGAAGCAATATGGCGGATGGAGCGAGCCACCCCCTCCCTATACTTTCAGCGACATCCCAATTATGACAACCAAGAAAGCTCTCCTCGATGGAATCCGATATCATCTGATGAGATTCTCCCAGACCAAATTGGGAGACAAACCTATTGATCCGACAGACCAAGACGAATTTGCCAGACCCGTTACGTTACATCGACGTGATGCCCGCCAACCTCCCCCAGGGAGAGCTGTGAAGGAAGAGGAGCCTGAACGACCCCCGGTAGATGAGCAAGAAGCAGAAAGACTGGCGCAGATAAAGGCTGAAAGAGAAGCGCAAAGGGCTATCGATCAAGCCAAGATTGCTCCGGTGGCCAAAGAGGTGGTGCCCAAACGCCCGAAGAAGCAAAAGGAGGAGAAAACAATGTTCAACCGAGCTCCAAAAACATCAGCAGCAAAGAAGGAATCCGATTTGAGATATGAAGAGGCTCTACCATGGCATCTGGAAGATGCGGATGGGAAAAATGTGTGGGTAGGCAGCTATGTGGCTGCTCTTTCTGAATCAAGTGTTGCATTCATGATTGACAAGTCGGTTTTCCGAATGATCCCATTGGAGAAATCTTACAAGTTCAACGCCAAACCACCTTTTCAACCCTTTACGATTGACCAGGCTGAGGCTTTCATGAATCGCAAGGTTGACGTCGGTCGTTGGGTTATGAAAGATGAAGAGAAGAAGGCTGGCCTGAACGATCTTGAAGCTACGCGGCGGATGTTGTACGGCCGGGGTCAAATGATCAAATCAGAGAGTGATACTTTCAAGGCCGCCTCACGCGCGGAGAAGATGGAGCATGATGAGCTCGATGTCTCAGGTGATGAATTCCAAGATGATGATGAGACCCCACACTTTGAGCGAAACGACGATGAAGATGCAAAAGAGTCCAAAGATCGAATTCGACGTGAACAGTTGGGAGCGAATCTGTTTGGTGAAGGAGACGAGCAAGAAGTGGACAAAGAACTGCAAGAACAGCTAAGGGAGGAGCTTGAGAGACAAAAATACGGCAAGACCACCAAAAAAGCTCTCATTAAGAGAGATCGTGAGGAGATATACGAAAGCGACAACTCGAGTTCTAATCCTTGGAGCAGCTCGGTAAGTCTACCCCCATGACACATTTAGCGTAACTTATGACTAACATCCCCCTCAGAGCGCCGAGGACAGCTCCGACGAGGAGGAGGAAGCCGGAAAAGAAGATGAGAAGAAGGACGGAGACAACAAGGATAGTCAGGGCGATGCTAAGGACAAGTCTAAGTTACAAAATGCCAAGGGGTCCACCACCCCACAAGGCAAACAGAAGCTCTCTGAGATGGTGAAGAAAGGAAAGTCTCTGAAGCGTGCCGGCTCCCCTGCCTTGTCAGAATCAAGCGGCAACGAGTCGACTAGGAAGAAGCAGAAGAAGGCATCTGCCGCGGCTCTCGGAAGCCGACCAAGCACTCCTGGACTGTCACAAACCACAGTGCGGCGTCCTAAGATTACAGCCGGCTCTGGAAGTGATGGAGAGGTCACCGCGGGTGAGATGTCGGATGGGGCGATGCAGAAGAAGAAGATTAAGCTTGTTGGCAGCTCAAGGGGAACACCTTCTGCATCTAGGGCTGGCAGTCCAAATCCCGCCCCAGCTGGTAAGCTCCTCAAACTCCTTTTTGTTAGATGTTTTCCCATCTTTCTCGTAACTAACAATGGATATCACAGGTGGTTCTTCTCCCCTAACTGGTGGACTGATTGAGCCATGGGAAATTTTGGAGAAGATACCCGTGGATGGAATAACGATTGGTGAACTCATCGGCTTATTCCAGGGTCGTGTCGGAGATGGGCCAGGCCGCATGCCCAGAGGGGAATGGATCACACTTGTTAGGCAGCTGTGCGACTTTGGCTCCGATAAACGTTTGCGTCGTAGAAAGTAATGGCCATATGGATACTTTCGACCAAGGGTGGGAAGATCTCATAATTACTATGCTTGATCAAAGGCCGTTTAGGGGTGAATTAGGAGAATAGCAGTTAGTCACAAGCTTGATGGCGAGATTCCATCTTTTATGTTTCTTAAGATAAATGAAAAAGGAAAACGACGGCGCCGACTCGCCGATTATTTTGATGCCAGGCTATATAATCCTAGTTCTCGTAGGGTATCTCAAATATTGGTACATACTATTGTTACTCATCCATTTGCCATGCATAATCCAGTCCCTTGTTGCGCTCACGCCGATTTAATGCCTTGAATCGCTCTGCTTCGAGCCCATTACCCCTGTCCACGCCGTCCCATCGGTATCCTGGCTTGATGCCATATCGATTAGGGGCCGCTGATCCTGAGTACACAGGTCGATGTTTCGAACTCCTGCTTCCTCGGTTTGTGTCCTTCTCAGCCATAAACTGCGTCATAGGATCGTTCCATCTTTGCTGGTCCATCATCTCTCGGTTCATATCCTCGTCATCGGCCTTGCGCGCAAAATTCATGAGCTTTGCGTCCTCCAGCTCTTCTCTGCGTCGTCTCGCATTTTCCAGCTGGACCTCGCCCTTGAGAGACTCCTTGGCAAGCCTCTCTTTTTCCTCAGCCTCGGCAGCTGCACGCCGAGCCTCCGCTCTCTTCATAGATATGTCGATTCGTCGACCGGTGGCATCTCGATAAACTGTCTCTTCTTCTTTTGCATTCTTCCGATGACGTTCGAATTCATCGCGTTCTTCTTGCTGCCGCCGCCTCAACTGTGCCGAGACCGATGCAGCGCTTTGCAGGCCAGCATGTGTTCCATCGCTCATCTTCACTACGCTTCCGTCGGCTTCAACGACCGGTAGCTCATCATCAGCCTCCCTTGCTGCATCATTTTCGGCAGCAGCTGAAGCGATGATGGCATCTGCAGCCGCCGCACTGTCATCCTGATTCGGGGCACTTCCACCCTCTCCTACAGTCTTCCAATTGCTCTTCTTTAGCTTCCGAAATTCAGCTGTAATATTTGAGACAGTCAATGGGCCATCTTCGTCATCAGCGTCTTGTTTGCTGCCTTTGTTCCAGGCTGTATCGTCGTCGTCGTCGGTAATGAGAAGCCCCGATGGTGCCTTTTCTTGCTTGCGCTTGCGCTTCTTGGATGGCTTTGGATCGGCAACAAGGTATCTTGATGCGAGATAGTTGGATAGATCGGCCATAATGTGTTGGAGGGGATTAAAAATTCAAGGGAAAACGAATTCAAATGGATAATTGGAAGGAGAGTAGGAAGAAGAAGTAGTAGAAGTTATGGGTTGAAGTATAGAGCTGCTGCTACCAAGGTCGCGAATGCTTGTACAGAAAACGGTACTTGGTACTTCCTCTATGCGCTCTGCAGCTTACTACTAGGTAGGTAGTACCTAGTATTATGCAGATATCGAAGCTAAACGGAGACCCGTCACCCCGGTACAGAAATGTGGAGCAATTCCAATAGTAGAAGTCGGGGCTTTGGATATCATGAGCACCGACCGTGGCATTTGATACGTAAGTGACATCTCTCAACGCATATGCGCCAGCTCGCTTCGCAAGAGGAATATGCAGAGCCGTATTGCGACATCCGACGTTTGCGATCCCACTTCAGCCTCTGATTCCGCATGAATTCTCTACCAGTGTCTGAATTATCTCAGCGGAACCACCGCACCAAGTCGCCTTCATGCCGCGGCCTCAAGATGAATCGTCTACGGAACCGATTCAAGCGTTGCCCGCTGCGGCTTCCGCTGGAAAGTTCTCTTATATGAGACATTCGACTTCGACCATCGAGCCGTTCCCAACTTCACCTTCCGATTCAACACTTGTTTATCGAAGATCGACTGCCGCCTCCCTATACGCCTCTACGCTGTCGCCACCAGGCTCAAGATCTATGTCACCGGCAGGGCGAGGATCTCCTTCACGAGTTCTCTCAGGCACTGTTTTTGATATTGGCCAAAACCGTGGGCTACCGGAAAATGTCGGGGATGACCCAGGCGAACCATTGAACTTAATTCTAAGGTCGTTTGTGCCTCATGTGGCTGTCTATGCCTCACGGGACACGGAGGCTTTAATAGGCGAGAAAGGGTTTCAACATGGACTGTGGGAGCTATTGCGCCCGTTTGGTGAGAATATCCAGGGCAAGGTCAATATTAGGGACAGCAACGGCGTTGGACGAATAGTTGAGGATTTTTCTATACGATTTACACGATTCGGCGGAAACATAGAGCGCCCAGATGCCCTGTCGACGGGATCTCAGCAAACACAGGCGCCTCGGAGTCAGAATGGAGCACAAGAGAAAACTGCCGGAAACCGGTCGGCCTTGAACGATATTGAGGCTGTTGTTGAGCGTCATCTCTCGTATGCAGAGGAATCATTCCTCGGAATGCCACATCAGAGTATCATGACTAAAAATGGCTCTGATTCTGAGACGGCTTCTCCGTACTATGCTTTATATTTACGACGACTCTTGTCGGGACTACCGATCTCGGCACACGAAACGTTTGCTCATCCTGTTGCTTGCATCATAGCTATTAGCTCCCGCAATGCAACCCCAATCGAAGAACTGCGGCGACTCTATACTGAAACCAGCCAAGGCGAGAAGAAATTGCCCTCATGGGTAGATGGAGACTATTTGAGGTACTATGTTCTGGTTCACGACGAAGAGAACGACGATATCGCAAGGTCCATGGCGTTGTTTGAGCAGATGAAACGACATCTAGGGCTTCATTGTCATTTATTACGGCTACGATGTAGTCAGAGTGTGGAAACCGATGATGACAGCATCCCTCTTCCCCGAAGTGATTGGATGTCTGCTGCCGAAGAGTTGGCAGAAATCCGCCGAAGTGAAAATGACGAAGACTTCGAGGATCCGTCGCGGTACATATTTGAGTCCGATGCGACTGCTATACGCACGTTTATCCGCGAAATGGTAATGCAATCCATTATCCCCACAATGGAGCGGCACGCCACTATTTGGAACGACCAAGTAGCCTCTAAACGCAAGGGAATAACGGGAAGGTTTATGAGTTTATCAAAGAGATGGACAGGGTTTGGCAGTAATTCACGATCTTCCTCCAGCGGCACCAGCACCAGCAAAGACGGCTACGACCCCTCTGGATTCTACAGGGCTGATACATCAGAAGCCATCATGCGAAAGCTAGCTGATTTTGCCTTCATGCTGCGCGACTGGAGATTGGCTCATTCCACATACGACCTGCTGCGATCCGACTTTAGTGAATCCAAAGCCTGGAAATACCACGCCGCGACTAATGAAATGGCAGCTCTTAGTCTTCTTTTAATGCCACAGCAGTTGACCTCTAAGAGCCGCGCGGAGACTGTGGACCAAATGCTAGAGTCGGCATTCTACTCATATAACACACGGTGCAGCTCTCCATACGGGGCGACAAGAACTTTGATCTTGGCTCAAGAGCTCCTGCGGCTAAGGGGAGGATCAAGTATTGATGATGCCGCACGATGGTGTACCCGTCTACTTGAATCAAAGATTCTAGGCAATATCGGTGATGCGCTACTCAAGGAGCGATTGGCAATCTGCTATGCCTCCAAGCAGGGCGTTGGCAGCTGGAGCTGGGGAAGCCGACGGCGGAAATCGGCTGCTTGGAGCGTTTTTGCAGCTAGAGCTTGGGCCCAACAGTCCAAGCATATCCCTGCCCAACGATGTCTCAACGAAGCCAAGAGAATGTACGAAACGTTACCTCATGGCCATGGCATATCACAGTTCGCCATCGCTCGGGAGACCATGGACTCGCTGCAACACGAACTAACGGAGAAGTTGGAGTTCCCGGCTGGGCACGATAGGGGTATAGCGGAAGATGCCATTGATGATGGTATAGATGAGGAAAGCGAGGCATTAACAGATATGCGCTCGAGGAGAGCAAGCAATCTGGCCCGAGACCGGACTTTGGAGACGGCACCCCTACACAATGAGGAAATGAGCAAAGATACCAATGAAGAAATAGATAAAGAGGGCTTTGAATAGGACAATGGGAATGGATTGGTTATGAAGGGAGATCAAATGAATTAGCCACAAGCGTTGAAGGGTGTGAGCGGTTGGAAGTGTTTTGTCTTTGTCTACCCTTGGCAACTAGCTGGTGTGGTAATGGCCGGCGACTAATGAGGCGATTCACTTAGCGATCCTGTATCTATAGGTTCAGCGTGTAGATGAATGGAAGGCAGGCCTTTCGTTGGGTCTATGAATACTTGGACGATGTGAATAATGCATAATCACAGGTGGTTTACATTATAGGCTGTTATTTGATGCAAGCCGTGGTGATTTATGTGCTTTACGGACAGCTATGAGCGTACATACAATGTGTAAGCCGTCATAGAATACAGTAACAGAAATGTTATGGAAAATAAAGTCATCAAAGAAAGATATCAGTCGATGGTGTTGATATAATTGAAGATTGAACGCCAGTAGTAACATCGCTGGGCCTTGAAATCACATGCTCCCAAATCATCGGGCACTAAATCCAGGCGCCTTATTAGCGGCATCTCTCCCACCTCTCCCACTAACAATCCCGGAACCGTCATCACGTCAAATCAACCCCCGTCAACAACCTTATCTTGGTCGCGAGACGCCAAAAGTGAAACTCCTCTGCCAATGTCACCATAATTGAGCAGAGATATACTCGAGATATAATTCTGAAGTTTGAAGCAACATAATAGCCGTCGCCGTTCGCGTTGGGAATCGAAATGGGCGAGCTTTCCGATTACCTCGTCCAGAACGACCCCAACTTTCGCAAGTAAGCAGACACCCATTGTGATTTCATTGCACATTTGTCCCATATTGGTGATACACGACACTAACATGATCTGTTAGGGCTCGACTTCCTGCTCTGTACTCCGATTTCCGATCGCAAAAGACGCTGAATCCGGATGGCTACCAAGCAAACGTCTCTGCTTGGCTGCTGGCCCTGGCGCGGTTAGCATCTGATGGGCTATTGTCCCGCCAGGGTTCCAAATCCAGCGCCCTCGTATTTGATCTTGACGAATCGCTACGACGGTCGCTAGACAGCAAGCAGTTTGGCCAGCCCTTGGCGCTGGGTACTGTGATAAACGAAGCACTGGCGCAGAAGGATCTGATTCCGCTGCAGAGCTTCTTACAATCGAATCAGAGCATATATCAACAGAGCTGGTCGCAGGTGCCGTGGAATGTGATGGGATGGGCCCTACGTCAGCTAGGAGTTACCGATCCCTCTCGAGGTGAAGACAAGATATCCAAGGGCAACTATGTTGTCATGAAGAATGTGGAAACGGCCAGCCGGGAGCTGGGGGAGAGGATTGCTGAAAAAGCACCAAGATACGACCGAGTCTTCACAAAAGGCCAGTTCCAGGAATTATTTACATCAGTTCTGGCTATGGAGCAGCGGCTATCCGAGACCGACACCGACGTATTGTTGAAGTTCCTATCTCGAGACAAAGATATGATTGAATACGACGGCCACACTGTCCGCATCAGAGGAAGTGGTGAAGCAAGGGGGATTACGGAGGAAGATTCCTCTATCGCATCTATAAAGGAGCTGGCAAGCAACTTGGAACATCAGATCGATCTTCTTAATGGGCGGATTGATGAGCTCGATCAAGAGGCAAGGAATGCCGTCCTGCGCAAAAACCGTGTCGCCGCCTTGGCAGCACTCAAGTCGAAAAAGCGAGCCGAATCTTCCTTATCCACACGATACGCAACTCTCCATCAGCTAGAAGAAGTTGCGTCCAAACTGCAGCAGGCTTCCGACCAGGTCCAGTTGGTAAAGGTCATGGAATCGTCTGCTAATGCGCTAGAGAGCCTGAACACCCAGATTGGTAGTGCGGACAAGGTTGAAAACACCAGGGACCGTCTCAGAGACCAAATGAGCGCAACAGACGAAATCACGGCCATATTGGCTGAGCCCACGGGCATGATTGTGGATGAAGAAGAGATAGACGAGGAACTTGAGGCCATGGAGAGAGAGCAAAAGAAGGAAGAAGAAGAGAAGGAGCGCGGCAAGGAGGAGGCCAAAGAAGCTTCCAAGGCTATGAAAGATTTGGACGAGCTTCCATCGGTTCCATCTGAGAGAATAGGGGCCGAATCGCCGACTAGAGCAACGGGCATTGGCAGGCTAACGCTGGATGGTTGAGGACAAGAAAGGCAGAATGGATGAGGATAATTAATATTCGGGACATTTCGTGGGTTGACAGTATCCTGATTATGTTTGCTGAGCATGAGCATTGGGCGTATTAGTTGATATATACATATCATAATGGGATAACAGCGTGGTCAATTAAATGTTTGTTTCAGTCACAGTATTTGAGAAAGTCTTGTCAATCTCGTGAAATAGCAACCTCTTGTAGGGAAGCTGCGCTATGATGTTTCATTATATTCATCATGTCCAGCTGGCTATGCTCAAGTCAAATGTACAAATTAGTTATTAACAGAATATGTATATGTTTAGTATCTTTCTGCTTCCGCTATACTCCTTGTATTCGACGCATCTGCTAGTGGTGTCGGGTTTATCGGCTGTTGTGAAACATCTAGAGATATGGGATAAACCTGAGAAGAAGACAACAACTCCACGTTTGGCGCAATTCTGGATCCTTCTTCTTCTTGCCGAGCCGATGTGTCACCACCAGGTGGTTGAGAAGATGAAATGACCATCAGATCTGGAGGTTGATTTACTGAACTCTGTGCCTGATCGCCAGTTACTTGTTCAGCCTCTTCCGTCTTCTTCTTCGCTTCCAATCGACTTTTGCGAGCACTCGCAATCAGATCTTTGAAAGAAGTATCATGCTTAGCTGCCCAAGCCGCCCCATCAAATTCCTTGTCTTTTATTACCGCCGCAGTTTGGATCGCCCGCCCTGTGGTTGGCGCTCGGCCGCCCTGGGTCCGCTCCCAGCCTTCCAAATCATGTAGTAACTCTGAACGCTTCTTCGGGATAGCAGCATCGCAGTTTGCGTTCCATAATGTCAGCCACTCTTTATGGCGCTTTTCCAGGAGAATGCGGGGCCCTTGGTTAGAGATGCCCAAGTCCGCCATTTTCTTTTTCAGTGCTTGTTCTTTCAACATGGAATAGTTGAGGGGAGGTAGCCTTTCTAGCGTCTTTTGCTGTCTCCGATGAGACTGTCCAAAGGAAAACGTAGTGTCGGAGTTGGCAGTATTATTTGAATTGTTTGCTGCTGATGGACCGGGACAGGATTCTAAATGTCCAAACACCTGCCACTCTTTCATCTTTTTGTTGCAAGAGGGGCAGGGAACGAGGCCACTCGCTATGCGCATCGTCAGCAGGATGGTTGAGTAATTGTATTTGTGTTTCTAGACTTACGAGCTTCCGGTACATATTCTTCGTCATCGTCGTCGTTATTTGAATCAGGGACAATCTGATCTTCAACTTCCTGAACCGGGATAGCTGTCACTGACTGTTCCCCTCTGCTTTTGTTCAGTCTAGCCGATGTGCGCAATCGCTTTGGTTCGTGAGGCTCGTGTGCATCGGATGAAATCTCAACAGCTTTCCGTTTTGGTGATTGACTCCTATTTCCCTGATTCCGCGCAAGATTCAGCGCAATCGTCCGCACCTTGGAAAATGCTTCTACTGTTTCTTCCATCGACCAGTTGCTTCGAAGCTTAAGCTCCTGTTCTGTCGCACGGCACATTGGACATTTGCCGTCGTTAGAGAGGGCTCTCCGTATGCAGAGCGAGCAGAAAGTGTGCGAACATGATGTGATCATGGGTGTCTTGTAAAAATCTTTGCATACTTGGCAGCGCAGGGCGGCTTCCACGGCTGCGAAGCCAGACAACGGCGTCGAAAGCCAGTCGGTCGAATCTGGAACATCGTCGGAGGAGGCCATCCAGGCGAGCAATTCCTGACTGATTATCCAAAAGCGTAATGCGGTTTCTCTTTGTTAGGTATGTTTAATCAAACACGATTGGCTGCAAGAGTGGCGACAGATTATTCTCAAACGTGGAGCAGCGGTGCTGAACAGAGAAAAAAGGCTGACGGTTAACGACCAGGATACAAAACTGGTCCAGAATGCGCCAGCATCGCGACTGACGCGTTGTTGGGGCAAGAAATTTATGGTTAGATGAATATATACAGACTAGATGTATATTAAATCTACCGTAGAGACAGTCCCTCAAGGTCATCTACCTGCCTTAAAGCGGTATATATGCATCAAAGCGATTAATAGCTATTGGTAGGCACGTGAGTTCGTGTTAAGTGCTGAACGCGTGGGGACCAAATCAGAGGCAAGCTTGATATCAGGTCGAGACTGTGAGCTTGCATATGCCATCATACAGAGTCTTCGGACAGACAGACAAACAATCATGGATGATGCCAAAAAATACCTTTCAGACCGACTCTTGAGTGAGGAGGTGCCGGTATGTACAATTACATCTGTCAATTGCTGCAAAACCTGCTGAGATTTACTAATCTAAGAATCGGTGCTTGGTGTAGGTGACATATCGCCTGCTGAGCAGGGTGCTCAACATTCGGGTCAATGTTGCTAAACAGTAATTCGACTTCCCACCCAATTCTTAGTTAACTGGGTTCTAATATTCAAACTAGAAAGCTCTATGAATTTCACCAGAGTCAGAATGCTTCCAAAGCGAATTCGATCCACGCTACCTACTTAATCTATGGCTCCAAAACGGAGCACAAGCAGCCAGAGACTGGCGACACTGATATGGACAACTCCGTACCAGAGCCCGAGCCTCTTTCTGACTATGCGCCTACCAAAACAGTGACAATAGTGGCTGAGGAGAATCTTAAAGGTCCGAATTATGATAATACATGACGTTGGCAGTCATGCTAACAGTTCAAATAGATGCGCTGGCTGAATATGAAGAAGTCACTTCTTTCCACATCTACAGTCTAGCTCCCTTTCCCCAAAGGGATCTGGCTCTACTATCCGATGTGTCAAAGTCACTATCTGAATATAGGAAGATTGAGGATGCAGCAAAAACGTTGGACACTTATGGAATAATTGCCAATCCTCAAGCACGCAGAA